GGCGCCCGGCCTGCCCTATGCGCTGCTCCCCCTTGACAGACCGCCCACGCCGGGCACCAGCTTCCTGCCCCAGGACGAAGTCTTGGACCTGACCTACAGTCCTGCCAGCGACGGGATCCCGGACTTCTGGACCGAGGTGGCTGCGCAGCCGCAGCCGCCACCGCCCCCTGGCCCTCCTTATCATTTCAACTTCCCCCCGCCCTTTGACGGGGCGTCCCTGGCGGCGGGAGGCCTGCCCCTGGGCGGCTCCCCTGCCCAGCACGAACCCTCGCCGGCCCCCCAGGCCCATGCCGCCGCTGTCCCGCCGCCGCCAGACAGCTTCTCCCTTCCCGACCCGGACATCAACTACAAGGAGCTCCTGGAAGAGATGTTGAGCTCGCTCAACGTGGGGCCCGAGGACAGCGCCCAAGGGAGACAGAGCGTCATTCAGTACCACCCGGGGCAACCTTTCCCCACGTTCTACGAGGACGACGGCAGCTGAGCGCTCGGCAAGGAGCGTTGGGCGTGGCGTGGCAGGGACACCCCTATTCCCCCCGCCCAGCCCAAGGGGGGTGCGGAAAGGGGTGGCAAGGGTTTAAGGTTTGGAACGGACCACTCCTCTGTCTTTTTTTCAAAATAGGGATGGCGGGGCAGAGAGTTCGGAGCGGGAGCGAAAACAGGAAAAGTTTTATTTATATATAATTATACAGTCACCTCTGTACTGATTTTTTTTATATATATCTCTATAGATCCGTAAAAGTGGAGTTTTTTTGGAGGGGGGGTCAGTGGGAGGTGTAGCGGCGCCTAAACCGGGAGTGAGAGGGGGCAAGGTTGTAGGTCTCTTCGAACCGCCCCCCCAGGCTGCACCCCCCCCCCTTTTGCCCCTCTGCAAACTACTGAGTTTGGAAAAGTTGGGATCTTTATATTCTTCTCTCTCCTCCCCACGTTCTACCCAGTGAGATCGGAGAGGCGCGCCATTCAAATCCACCACGACGAAAGCTTTCTGGGTGGTCCCAACTTGGTCCCCCCCCCCGGCAGGTTGTTTTGCACAGGTGCAGGGTTCGAGTGACGCTGCTCAGCCCTGCACGCTTCTGGTTCTGAGCAAAAAAAAGGGGGCAGGGGAATTGCCTTGCAAGTTTCTAGACCTCGTGGAGGTAGGGAAACACTTGAACGTGGGTGGCAGAATTTCTGTGGTCCTCCCTGTTTTCCTGTGCCTGAGGCTCAGCGCCTATTCCCAGCCTGCATCCATTGGACTACAGATCCCACCAGCGCCTGGCATCTCACAGCCAGGCGCCGATGGGAACTGTAGTGCAAAAAACAGAGGGGTTAGCGGAGTAGCTAAGAAAGGCTCATCCTAGAGAGAGCATCTAAATAGTAATAGCTGTGCAACAGCATGCAGAATTTCTCTCCCGAGTTGCGGTCATTTTTATTCCCTTGTACTGAAACTACGGGGAGGGAAGGAAAGGATGGATTTGCCAGGACAGCATTAAACTCTCGGCTCACGGTGGACGAGGAAGAGGGGGCTCAATCCGCTCAGACCAAAAGAAGTTCCCGTCAGGCCCAAGCGAGGGTGGAGGTCACCCATCAGGATTTTTATTTCAGGAAGTGGGGTTCTAGGTCAGGGGCTGCCAAACGTGGGGGTTATATAGGTTAGCTCGGAATTTATAGGCAAACCGTGATTTTTCTGATTACCCCCCTGAGAACGTTTATCTCCTCTTTCGGAGAGAAAACTACCACCGTTTCCGTACGGAGGGAGGGGAAAATGTGGGGAAGTTGGTTTCTCCAAACTCCAACCCCACCCAAAAAAAGTCTGCAGGGACTCTTGGAAGGTGTTATATCCCATAACCACCCAGCTCAATGCTCCAGATGATCTGTGCAGGGATGGAGCCTTGTCGCTGAAGAAGAGCTCTTTCCCTTCCTGGTTTATTCACATTTATGCAAGTGGTTTGGAACAGCCCACTCGTTTTTTGCCCCGTCAGAAACACCCCTACCTCCACTTCTTAAAGAAAACCCCCCTCACCTTCTCCCAAGGAGGCATATATGTCACCCGCTACCTCGTCCCGGTAACAATCCATGCTATCAGGGTGAAGTTGTCTTCTGGCACCTGCTTTCAGTTTTAAGTTTTTGAAAATGCCTAGGCAGGGCTCTAGCCCTCGTGGAGGTTCCCTGAGCGCTGGCACGGGCCGTGGGCTTCCTCCTTTGTCATTGGAGGCATATAGTTCGTTAATAGTTGTCTTTTTCCTCCTCCCTCCGGAGCAACTTTACTGCTGCTGCAGTTGCCCCTCTGCTCCCCTCTCTCTTGGCGAGACGGAATCGCCCATGGGGTGGGGGTCTCAATATCCCCCACGCAGATCCACAGCGCTCAGAGGATCGCCACGGTTTCACAACGCCTGCTACTTCATGTATTCTGGGAATCGGTCCCCTCCCTCCCCGTCGTTTTAAAAAAATGAAATTTCCAGTCCTCATGACTCTCGCAAGCTTTGCAGGAAAGATGGGGATCTAGAAGGAAGGAAGGGGTGGGTGGGGAAGTAAAAGAAAGATAGGAAGATTTGCAAGGCAGCTCCAGTGTCCCCTGATTCTCACCCCCACCCCCCGGCCAGAAGCAGAGGAATGAAGCAATTATGCAAAAAGAGAAAGAAACTATGCAAATAAGCTGTTTTGCAGGCAGCAGGAGGGATTTGGTTTTCACCAGAATTCCCACCCCGATTTGTATCGCTCTCGAGGGCGGAGACCACATTCTCGTTTCCCCATCACAATCGTGCATTGCCGTTTAAAGATTTTAATAGCCATAAGAGAATCCCGGCAGCCCGCTTTTAGGATTCGTTTCCCGAAAGGAGTTGGGTTGGGGGGGCTTAAAAACTCAGGAAAGAATTGGAGGTGTGCTCAAGTTGGGGCTACTCCCCTCCCCCCAAATAGGAATATCTCAGAATTGTTATGTGGTTATTTTATGGTGGTTTAATTATTTTTTCAAAAAGTAAATAAATCTATTTCCCAGGGCAGTGAGACTCCCTTTAAGGAGATACAAACCGCTGTACCCTCACCCTCCCTTTTGTCAGGAAAACTTAATATGTAACAACTACTTTTTAAAAAAACTAAATTATTATGCTGTTTTTTTGTTTTATTGATTGTATTTTTGAAATGGAAAATCTCTTCCCCTTCCTGGTTGGCACTTTCTAACCAACTTCCTTTTTTGTCAGCTTATTTTTTTTTCTATGGATATTTATAATTAATTCAAAATTGTGTAAATATATATATGTAAAAAAAAAGGGGGGGTGCCTGCGAATAGGAAGGGGGAAGAAGTCTTTACCCGTTTTTTTGTTTCGTTTTTGTTGATGAGGAAATGTGCCTTTTAACTCGTGATTCTGGAATTTTCTACCGAAGGATTAAAACGTTGGCATTTCAGCTCAGGGAAGAGGTCGAGTCTCGAAATTTGTACGCGCATGAGAAAATGAAAGGGGCCGTTTGGTATGGTTTTGATTTGCTAGATTTTTTTAAAAACCCGTAAAACACCCTGAAATTGTGAAAGCAAGAAACGCAACTGCCTTGGTCAATAGAGGAGATGGCTGTGGCCCGGGGCTTCCTTGCTTCCGCTACTTTGAGTCTCCTCCGATTTTGGTTCTGTTGGTTAAAATGGCTTTTACTCTCGAAGAGCAGATTGAGAGCTGCCTCATTCAATAAGAGCACAAGACACTATCTCAGGGTCGTGAGTTCGAGACACACATCGGGCAAAAGATTCCTGCATTGCAAGGGGTTTGAACTAGATGACCCATTCCAGCTCTTAGGATTCTCTGACCTCAAACTCCTAACATCGATGTGTGGAATGCTTTGCTAATTTTCCTTGAAATCGTAGTACAGTGGTACCTTGGTTCTCAAACTGTTCCAAAACCAAGGCACGCTTTCACGTTGAAAGTAATAGAATACGGATTAATCCATTCCAGGCTTTTAAAAACAACCCCTAAAACAGCAATTGAGCATGAATTTTACTATCTAACGAGGTCATTGACCCATAAAATGAAAGCAATAAACAATGTACTGCAGTCACACAATCAATCCATCAGCAGCTGGACTGGGTTGCATGCAGTCACAAACACAAAGCAAAAAGAGCCGCAAAAAACGCAAAATAAATAGCAAAAACCGACAGACCTCAGTGCAACACTCAAAACAGAAGCATGGCACTCAAATTGGAAGCGTAACACTCAAAATGGAGCATGTTCAGCTTCCGAAAAAAGTTCACAAGCCAGAACACTTACTTCCAGGTTTGCATTCCAAGTTGTTTGAGTACCAAAGCGTTTGAGAACCAAGGTGCCACTAATGTAAAAGGAGACCAACAGCCTCTTCCCTCAGGGCAAAAAAAGGAGGCAGCAATTCCCTAGAAATGGAGGAAAGCAAGCATCTTAGAAGACGTTCCTGCAGGAGGAGATGCCTCTATCAAAATAAAAATAAAAATGGTTGACTCGGAAAGGGCCAGCCAGGGTCATCTAGTCCAACCCCCTCCAATGCAGATATCTCAGCTGAAGAATCCACAACAGATGGGCCACCCAACCTCTCTTTAGAAACCTCCAGCGAAGAAGGGAGTCCACATTCTCAGGTCATGAATCCCACTGCCAAACAGGCTCCAATTAGTTATTTAGCACATTAGTCATTACTGAACTGAGGCTGCACCAAAATGAAAGCTGCAAGGCAAGGATGCTGATGGAACAAGCCCATCTCTCCCGCCTCTTCTCATCTTCAGAGTCCGAAGGCAGCGAGACAGAATTCCACAGACACAAGTCACGTCAGGAGGAGAGACGAAAACACTTTTATTGCTACGGCATTGGCAGGCAACTCCGGGCCCCAGAATCTACCGCCTCCCCGTCCCTGCAAGAGTTTGCAAATATATATATATCTTTTTCTCAGGCCTGCCCCACCAAACGGGCTTGGCTTCAGGGCAGGCCATCATCCAGGCAAACTTTGCAGGAAAGCAGAGGAGCGAGTCGGGGCTGAGGAAACGCAGGGTGATCCGGTGTCGTGTTCAACAAGTCCTAGAGGTAAGCGGGCAGGTCCTTCTCGATCACCTGCAGGCGGAGGAGAAAAGGCGATCAGTAACACCTTCCCTCTGGAGCGGTACCTATTGATCTACTTGCACTTTGACGTGCTTTCGAACTGCTAGGTTGGCAGGAGCTGGGACTGAGCAACGGGAGCTCACCCCGTTGCGGGGATTCGAACCGCCGACCTCCCGATCGGCAAGCCCAAGAGGCTCAGGGGTTTAGACCCCAGCGCCACCATATGCAGGGCAGACTAAGGGCACTCTTGATGCCATCTCCGGTGCAAAGCCAAAACTGAAACCTGAGTGCGATACTTACAAATGGGTCGTCCATTGGGCTGTATCTCTTCACCACCTGGCCTTCCTTGTTGATTAGAAACTGAAGGAAGGAGGGAGAGACGAGACGAGAGAGAGAGAGAGAGAGAGAGAGAGAGAGAGAGAGAGAGAATGGAGGACAGCTAGTGAACAAAGAGTGCCTTGAACCGGGGAAGGAAATCGAGGGTGCTTCGATATGGGATGAAACCAGGGCATCTTTCAGCACAGCAGAAACCCTGGCGCTCCCAATATTGCCGGACTCTCAACTCCCTCCCAGGGACCAAGAACAGGTTGATGCAGAGATGGAGGAGCTACAGCGATGGGCACAGTGCCGAGGGTCAGGCAGACGGGCTTAGGGACCACCACTGCCGTACACCGCTCATGACTTCTATACAGTGGTACCTTGGTTCTCAAACTTAATCCGTTCTGGAAGTCCATTCCAAAACCAAGGTGCGCCTTCCCATAGAAAGTAACACAAAACGGATTAATCCGTTCCAGCCTTTTAAAAACAACGCCCAAAACAGCAATTTGACATGAATTTTACTATCTAACTAGACCACCGATCCATAAATTGAAAGCAATAAACCGTGTACTGCAGCCACACAATCAGTAGCTGAACTGGGTTGCACACAGTCGCAAAAAGAGAAGCAAAAGCAAAAACAGAATAGCAAAAACAGACAGACTCGTTTAAACGGATGTGTGGCACTCAACACGGAAGCATAAGACTCAAAACGGAAGCATGTTTGGCTTCCAAAAAAAGTTCGCAAACCGGAAAACTTAACTTCTGGGTTTGCGGTGTTTGGGTTCCAGGTTGTTTGAGTACCAAGGCGGATTGAGAACAAAGGTACCACTGTATATGAAAGCCTGCCTCTCCCCATGCAAACTGACCCAGACCCTGCGCTTGTCGTCAGAGGCCCTTCTCACTGTCCCTCCTCCCTGAGAGGTTCAGAGGCCTTTAGCCATTAAATAACCTCCATAAAATGTGTTCTTAATGCACCCTGGGCTCTTTGAGATGATATACATTGATTAGGTAATTGTAATTTAGAGCCCCCCACCACAGGCCTGAGGTTCCTCCCACCCCTGGGCTTAAACAACTCCACGGAGGACAGTTCCTATCAACAGCTGGCGATCGAACCTCCAGCTGCCAGGGCAGTCTACCAGCTGCCAGGGAGTGCTTTGGGGTTTGGAAACAGGAGGCCGGACTTGATAGGCCCAGCGATGCCCCCAAAGGGAGTTAAGATGCACGAGCCACTTCAGAATTGCCTCCCCTCCGAAGCTGGGATGGGGAAGATCTGTTGCTGGATTTGCCCCCTTCCCCGGCCAGGGATGCTGGGAGCTGGAGGGGCACGGATGTTGCCCAGGCCGATCCAATCGAGGGAGGGCACCCAAAAGGGGAAAGGGCCGCAGTCCAGCTGGGATTCGAAGAGCCAGGAGTCGAAAGCTGAAGGCTCACCTTGCTGAAGTTCCATTTGATGGCACTAGGTGACGGGGGAGAGAAAAAACAACAACAACACCACTTTAGTTTCGGAACAAGAAATCCAGAACAGGTCCATGCATCAAACAGAAATGCCCCTGGGGTCGCGCTGTTCTGATACCGCCCCGCCCCCTGCAACTCTCATCAGCTCTGGCAAGCCAGAATGGCTGTTTGTCAGGGATGATGGAATATCTGGATGAAACCACACTGGCTGCTTGTAATCTAGAACACAGGGCAAGGGTCAAGATATTGTTCAGGAATCACAACAGTTGCAACTTGGTTCCTTATCGAACTGGGAGGTCAGGGAACCAGGCAGAGGGCCTTCTAGGTGGTGGCACCCGCCCTGTGGAACGCCCTCCCACAAGATGTCAAAGAGAACAACTACCAGACTTTTAGAAGACATCTGAAGGCAGCCCTGTTTAGGGAAGCTTTTAATGTTTAACAGACCACTGTATTTTAATATTTTGTTGGAAGCCGCCCAGAGTGGCTGGGGAAGCCCAGCCAGATGGGCGAGGTATAAAGAAATTATCATCATCATTATCATCAGTGGCATGCCTTGCCTTGGTCCTAACTGGAGATCTGCAGGCTAGATCGCAGCAGGGAGCTCTGGAATAAATACCCACCCACGCCCCAATCTTCACACAAACAGCACAGGGAGGAACTGTTAACCACCTCTCCACCCCAAAAAGGTTCACAGCCTCTTCTACCCGCCCCCAAGGGTACCAGTTTTTTGTTAAGGTTTTGAGAGAGCGCTCAATATATATTTGCAGAACCTTCAAAACAAAACACCCTCCTGTGGGGCTTTGCCCTGCCATCATGAGGTCTAGGAACCTGGGTCTCCCAAAGCAGAGCTCAGATTCTCTGCAGGGGTTGTTTTTGCAGAACTGACAGAGCCTCGTCCTTAAAGGGGATTCAGAATTGGGGACCGGGGGTCAGGATCATGCCCCATTAAGAAGCAGGGAGGGGAGGCCCTGAGACATCCCCCAATGTTTCGGCGCTCCTCTGTTTGGTGGCGGATATGTGTGCTGGATTCTCCTCAGTTAACAGTTGTGATGTTTAAGGCGGCTTTCCTTGGTCAGGATGGACGCCACTGCGGAAAGGGGAGTCCTCAGGCCGGTAAATTACACAAGCTTAGAGCTATTCCCTCACCTTAGAATTTTGTGCACATGTACAAATTAAGCCACGTTCTCCAGAGTAAAGCACGCCTGCGTTATCAAACAGGGCCGGATTTAGGTTTGATGAGGTCCTAAACTCCTGAAGGTAATGGGGCCCTTTATATGTCCAGCTGTCCTTTGTCAAGAACAAATTGTCACTATTTTTTGTGTTGAATATATGCTATATGGCAATTTGTGGACCTAGTAGGTATCTCCAGCCATTTGCACATGCAGAACGTAGGCACCCTATATATAGAAAGGAGCAAACCAGGGATATTTTAGAGAGCAGGCTAGCAGGCGGGGCCCATGACTTACACCATAGGAGCCTACACAACACAAAACACTGTTATGTAGGTTTTATTTGTTTTTTCATCTTATATTTTGGAAATGTAGATCCAATGGTTTTTTTCCTTTAAATTTTTTTGGGGGCCCCCAAGAGAGTGGGGTCCTAAGCTATAGCTTGTTTGGCTTACACATAAATCCAGCACTGTTATCGGAGCTGGGTGTGAGAAGAAGGGTGCATCATCTCTCTGCATATAGGCCGTTTACCAAAGCATATACTATAATTCCAGCTCCCGCGGTTCAGAAACTCACTTGCCCAGCGTCCCCCGGCCTTTGGGCTGGCTCTTCATCCACTTCCAGAGGGGGTGGGCGCCGTCCCCGTTCACCTCGATCTTGCTGAACATGTCGAACTTCACACCGTAACCTGCAGCGAAGGCTTTGATTTCCTCATTGGTGCCCGGCTCCTGCAGTTTGGGGAAGGGAGATGAGAAATGGTCGCCGCTGGTGCCTGCCTGCCCGCCCCTCAAAAAAAAGGAGCAAAAAAACTACATCACACCACGCGGTTGCCAGACCTCCCGGCACCCTACCTGCTTGCCGAACTGGTTACAGGGGAACCCCAAGATGCGTAAACCTCTCTCAGCGTATCTGCTGTACAGGTCGACAAACTGAGTGTAGTTCACGCCTGTCTTGCCTCATTTCGAGGCCACGTTGGTGATGATGCAGACGTGGCCCCTGCAGAAACGGAAGGGGAACGTTTGTGAAGGAAGGCCCTGATCCAACCGTCATGTGAGTATATATATTTACAGTAGGTACCGTATTTTTCGCTCTATAGGACACACCTTGTTTTAGAGGGGTAGAACAAGGAAAAAAATCTCCCCCTCTCTGCTCAGCGCCCCTTCAGCGAAGCGGCAGGAGAAACGGAGCCCCTTCCATTTCTCCTCTCGCTTGGCTGAAGGGGCGCTGCGCAGCTCTCCTTCTCTGCTGAAGCCAGGAGAGTCTTCAGCAAAATGAACCCGAAGCCTCCAGAGCGCAGCGGCTATCCCTGAAGCCTTCGCAGAGCAGCGCAAGTTCCTGCTGCGCTCCGGAGGCTTCAGGTTCCTTTCGCTGAAGCCAGGAGAGTCTTGCTCTCCCGGCGGCTATCCCTGAAGCCTGGGAGCGAGAGGGGTGGGTGTGCACCGACGCCTCTCGCTCTCCAGGCTCCAGCAAAAGCAACTTGAAGCCTCCGGAGCGTGGAGGGAGCGCTCCCTCTGCGCTTCGGAGGCTTCGCGTTGCTATCGCTGAAGCCAAGGAGCCTGCATTTGCTCCATAGGACGCACATACATTTCCCCTTAATTTTTGGAGGGGAAAAAGTGCGTCCTACAGAGCGAAAAATACGGTAAGTCAATGAGCAAGTCAGATGAGCTTGAATATGCAGAAGGCACCAAAAAATAAATTCAAGGAACCGCAGAAAGAGGGAGAAGTGGTGTCGAAATCTGGAAATGTTAAATTGACTGTAAAACCAATGAAATGTATAAATTTGAAAAATATAAGAAACTGACTTGACCATTCCTCCAAGTCAGTGGTGGCCAAACTCGGCCCTCCAGATGCTTTGGAACTACAACTCCCATCATCCCTGACCCGTTAGCTAGGGATGATGGGAGTTGTAGTCCCAAAATATCTGGAGGGCTGAGTTTGCCTATGCCTGCCTTGATTCAAGGTAGGAAGAGTGGGCCCAAACAAATATGCAGAGGGAAGAAAATACCCCACACACTTACCTGTACCGCTCGAGCGAGACGTCGGCGCCATCGATGTCCGTGGCGTGGAAATCGTAGATGGATTTGGCAGACTGCCAGTCGGTTTCTTGAGCACACTGGAAGCGGGGAGAAACAGGAAGCGGGGGTCAGGCAGAAGCACACCTCAAATCAAAAGTACAGCGGCATCTCGGTTTTCGAACAGCTCGGTTCACGAACAACTTGGAACCTGGACGCTGCAAAACCGGAAGTAGTTTTCGAACTTTTTTTCAGAAGCCGAACGTGCTCTGTTTTGCGTCCCCCTGTGTTTCCTGTTGCACTGCTAATTTGCGTCTCCCCCCCGTTGTACAGTAGTACCTCGGGTTACATACGCTGCAGGTTACACACCCCACTAACCCAGAAATAGTGCTTCAGGTTAAGAACTTTGCTTCAGGATAAGAACAGAAATTGGGCTCCGGCGGCGCAGCAGAAGCAGGAGGCCCCATTAGCTAAAGTGGTGCTTCAGGTTAAGAACAGTTTCAGGTTAAGAATGGACCTCCGGAACGAATTAAGTACTTAACCTGAGGTACCACTGTAATTCAAGCCTTCCGTTTCCGATTGCAGTGTTCTAAATACTGGTTGTAAATATTAAGATGATACCAGCAAGAATGAGTCTTTCTGTAAATAAGTGATTTAAATCAAGTCTCACTGACTAGTGATTTAAATCAAATCCACCCTGATTCTTTGATTTAAATCGTGCTTTACATCAAATCCACCCTGTATACCTGAAGGAGCGTCTCCACCCCCATCGTCCAGCCCGGACACTGAGGTCCAGCTCCGAGGGCCTTCTGGCGGTTCCCTCATTGCGAGAAGTGAGGTTACAGGGAACCAGGCAGAGGGCCTTCTCGGTGGTGGCGCCCGCCCTGTGGAACGCCCTCCCTTCAGATGTGAAGGAAATAAGCAGCTATCCTATCTTTAAAAGACATCTGAAGGCAGCCCTGTTCAGGGAAGTTTTTTATATTTAACGCTGTATTGTTTTTAACACTTGATTGGAAGCCGCCCAGAGTGGCTGGGGAAACTCAGCCAGATGGGCGGGGTATAAATAATAAATTATTATTATTATTATTATTCAGAAAGAGCTCTCGTGGCACTCTCGTGCGTTTGTGTTTCGAGGGCTGCAAATCTCCCATTTCCCTCTCCTTCCAGCGCCAGGGCTCAGCGTTGGAAATTAGCCAGGCGCATTTTGCAATTGGTGCAAAATCCAACTCCATCCCTGGGGAGATCTGTGGATGCCAAGTTGCCAACGGACATCTCCGTCTGCCTGGTCTCTCCAGCTTTCTAAAGCGGGTCAACTCAGAAGAGCTTATTCCTTGCCAACTAGTTGGCCAAGCATGCTTTCCTAGCGGGGCAACCGATGCCCAGCACCCTTAATAAAACTACAGTTCCCAGGATTCTCCTTGACCTGGGTCAAGAGGTGTAACTTGGACTTTGGGGTGTGGGTGTGTGTGGATGCAACTTTAGCCGTTACAACACACAGGGACGGATCCAGGAGGCTAAACTGCAATTAAGGGGGCTTTCACCAGTCAGGGATTTCAATGGAATTAACGTGTGATTAAATTAATCTGGATCCAAAGCCCCTATCCTTTCCCTCCCCTACCCAGGTTATCCTCTAAAGCAAGAGGGGGTGGGAATCTGTCGCCCAGGCAGCATGGTGGGTTGCAGTCTGGCAACCTCTGCAGGCCACAGATCTCCCTGTTGCTGTTTTAAAACAGTTGACAGACCAGAGGTCTGTCAAACATTAAAAAGCTTCCTTAAACAGGGCTGCCTTCAGATGTCTTCTAAAAGTCTGGTAGTTGTTTTTCTCTTTGACATCTGATGGGAGGGTGTTCCACAGGGAGGGTGCCACTACCGAGAAGGCCCTCTGCCTGGTTCCCTGTAACTTGGTTTCTTGCAGCGAGGGAACCGTCGGAAGGCCCTCGGCGCTGGACCTCAGAGTCTGGGCAGAACAATGGAGGTGGAGGCGTTACTTCATGGCGTTTCCATGCGTTCTGGTTTCCGTCATGGTGTCCTGTTGCACCAGATGCGGTTTAGTCCTGCTGGCCACATGACCTGGAAAGCTGTCTGTGGACAAATGCTGGCTCCCTCAGCCTGAAAGCGAGATGAGCGCCGCAACCCCACAGTCTCCTTCGACTGGACTTAACCGTCCAGGGGTCCTTTACTTTTTAAAAAACCTTATTATTAGTATTATTGGGACGCGGGTGGCGCTGTGGTCTAAACCACTGAGCGTAGGGCTTGCTGATAAGAAGGTCAGCAGTTTGAATCCCTGCGACGGGGTGAGCTCCCGTTGTTCGGTCCCTGCTCCTGCCAACCTAGCAGTTCAAAAGCACATCAAAGTGCAAGTAGATAAATAGGTACCACTCCGGCGGGAAGGAAAACGGCGTTTCCGTGCGCTGCTCTGGTTCGCCAGAAGCGGCTTAGTCCTGCTGGCCACATGACCCGGAAGCTGTACGCCGGCTCCCTCGGCCAATAAAGCGAGACGAGCGCCGCAACCCCAGAGTTGGCCACGAATGGACCTAACGGTCAGGGATTCCTTTACCTTTACCATTAGTATTATTATTTCTGTGCAGGCTCAATCCCTGGCATCCCCAGTTAAAAGGATAACAGGTAACAGAGGTTGGGGGTAGACCCTTGTGAGACTACTCTGGGGAGCCACTGTGAAGTCAGTGCAGTGCAGAAATTACTGTATTTTTTGCTCTATAAGACTCACTTTTCCCCTCCTAGAAAGTAAGGGGAAATGTGTGTGCGTCTTATGGAGCGAATGCAGGCTGCGCAGCTATCCCAGAAGCCAGAACAGCAAGAGGGATTGCTGCTTTCACTGTGCAGCGATCCCTCTTGCTGTTCTGGCTTCTGAGATTCAGAATATTTTTTTTCTTGTTTTCCTCCTCCAAAAACTAGGTGCGCCTTGTGGTCTGGTGCGTCTTATAGAGCGAAAAATACGGTATAGGGTGCAAAAATAATCTGAGCGTGTTCCGATGTGCCCTGTATTCCACGCAGCTCCAGTTTACAACCTGGAGTCCCAAACAAACCAAGCCGTGACCAGCTCTCTCCCTGTCCCTTTGTTGATGCTGACCTCTAAAAATTCTTGTCTTTCAACATCCTCCCCTGATGCTCATGTGATCGAGGACAATGCGTGTGGGTGGTTCAAGGCCTTTGCCTTCTCTCTTTCCCCTCCCGCCCCCAATCCCTGTTACACAAAGGCTCCATTAGGCAACAAGATTACACAAAGAGGAAAGATCAGGAAGGAATTTAGAGAGGCCACTCCGGTTGCCTTTTATAACCAGGCTTAATCAAGATCCCAAAGGAGCAAGCTCTGTAAATGAACCGCGGTAAATAAATTAAAAAAGCACCCTCCTGACTCATAACGAAGATGGCAGAACCGGTCTCAAAGGTGGAAGTTTCCACAGACTTCTCAGTTCTTACTACTGCATTGCAGATGAAAGCAGCTGCCGCCACGAACTTTGACTTCCAAGAGCACTTCAAGGCCCCGGACTTTTGTTTCTGGAGAACAGTCAAGTCAGGCAGAAACCAGGGAATTCGGCTGGGTGCCAGCGCTGCCCTGCTCCCAGATTAAGGAATGTTTCGCAACGTAAACTGGGTTAATCACCAGCCGAAACAGCGCTGCGATTAAAACATGCTTGCTAGGAACCAGCGTCTTGGAAAGTGGAGAGACAGGAACGACATTTCCCCATGATTAGAAATGGCATCCCTTCGCCTGGAAAAAAAAAAAGCATTTCTTCCAGGCAGGTAAAGTAAGTTGGCATCGACTTCCGGACAGAAAGAAACACTTTGCCCTATGTGCATTGAACTTGTAGAACCCACAGCTACAAAACAGGATCGCTTTCTAATGGCGATGGCTTTTAAGACTGGAAAGAAGACACGGACAATAGGTAATCTGAGCAGCTATTACAATCATGGTAAAACAAGGTTTTCAAGGGGATTTTCCGACGCCCTAGCCTCTAAATCCCAAGTATGGAACAGGAGGTGAATACTGCCTTGGCGATGCTGTACTGGGTGGGCTTTTTTTCTCCCTCGTCCCCAAAGCAGAAGAGAGCCGATAAGCACACCTGAATTAGGAAAAAACTCACTTATAATTAAGATTATAAGCTTGGCCAGAGATGTTCCCACTGCATTAATAAAAAACATTTTTATACGTTGCCCCAGGTGCAGCAGAGAACTGCATTCAAGGTGGAGAAGCCTCAGGTGAAACTTGCTTTGCTTTTGATTACTTTTGAGGCAGCAACTAATTGCAGTTAATTGCCTACACTGGGACAGGTGTAGGCAATTGCTCAGGGAAAGACTGGTGCAGAGAATTAGGTGCGAGAGGCAGGAGGAAGTTTCTAGCACAAAGTTATGAAATGAGGTTGTGCGCTTTTAGGCTCCAAAGCCCACCACAGCGACGGACCCCAGAGAGAAACAGGAAGAACCGGTTGCCCCACAGAATCAGGTAGGGGGGGAAAGAAGCAAACTCCAAGCAGACCCACCCGATATTAACTGACACTGCTAATTTAGGTCTACTCGTTTTCATGGGTCCACTTTTGAGTAGAAATTACCTGAATTCCACCCACCGTGCTCTGGAAGCAGCCAGAGAACAGCAAGACATCGGGTCATAATGCAAAAGGTAGCAGCGTGATCCAAAGCGAGCCAACCAACCCCACAAAGCCAGTGGTTAGCATTGGGCCAGGACCTAGAAGGGCTTGGGTTCGAATCCTCCCACTCATGAAGCTCACCAGTCACTGCCCCTTTAGCTTAACTCGCCTCACAGGGCTATTGCGAGAATGAAACAGGGAGTGGAGGTAATATCACATACAGCAGCAGCTTTAACTCTTTGCAATAAATGTGTGGCGAATATATTGCAACCGTGTTGGGGAATATAACAACCCAAGTCCCAGAGAGTAACGGGAAGTGTTGGCAGTTTCACAATAGGGCGAAAAGAGTTTCGTTAAGGTGGCAGCAGCCCTCCCTGCTTGCTTATCTTTAAATGCATTTATAGGACACAGTTGCAATTCTTGGAACTGGCAGCCACCCTCCACAGCTGCTGGGAAAAGGCAGAATTAAAGGCTATGTATATTAACACACCAAGACCCCTTTTCCAATGCACCCTGGGAGACAAAAGGATATATATGTGTATGTATATATGTATATATATATATGTATACACACACAAAAAAACCCTCGCAAATATATATATATATACACACACACACACACACACACACACACATATATATATACACACACACACACACACACACACACACACTTATTTAAATATACATACACACACACACACACACACATATATATACAGACACATACACACATATACACACACACAAAAATATATACAGACACACTATATATAGAGAGAGATATACACACAAACAAACACACACAGAGGATTATGGGAATTATTGCAACACTAGCAAAAGAAAAAGAATTTAGGAAGGAAATCAGCTTAACACTCCATTTCATGGGAGAGACAGACCATGGATCCAAAGGGATTATGGGGGGAAGAAAAATAAGAGCCAAGAAAACAATGGTCCAAGGATTTGTTAGGTCCTCCAAGAGGGAGACGCTCTGGCCCCCCACGTCTATGCTATGACCACCGAGAACCCAGGGGCGGCTAGAGCGGCCACGGCTGAGAGGCCTAGCCGGGCCTAGCGCGACCAAGCCTTTCTTCGAAACTCACCATTGTCCTGGTCAGGCCTCGCGTTGCCAGCAGCCCGCAGAGAAGCGTCCTCTTCACTAAGCGCTCCAAGCTCATCCCCTTCGGCCGCTTTCCGCGGACTCCGCCTTTATCCTTCCCCTCAGAAACGGCTCAAATTCAGGGCAGCCAATCAGCGGGCGGCTTCTCCGGACGCCCCGAGTCGAAAGCACCGCCCCACTCTCTCTCGACCAATGGGGCAGCGGGAAGGGCGGGGCAAGGTTTCGCAAGCGGCGGGTAAGACGCGAGGCCCCGCCCTTTCGTACGAGCGCTGATAGGGCCGTGGACGTTACGGGCAGGTGGCGCAGCCAATCGGGAAGATCTGCATCCCAGATGCTGTTGTCTTGGAGATTAACATCTGGAGCATCCTTGGAAAGGAGCCAGAAGCCAGGATGCAAAGCTCTGGGTGAAGAAGAAGAGGAGGAGTTTGGATTTGATATCCCACTTTATCACTACCCTAAGAAGTCTCAAATGGGACGCCGGTGGCACTGTGGGTTAAACCACAGGGCCTAGGACTTGCCGATCAGAAGGTCAGCGGTTCGAATCCCCGCAATGACGGGGTGAGCTCCCGCCACCAGGTCCCTGCTCCTGCCAACCTAGCAGTTCGAAAGCACATCAAAGTGCAAGTAGATCAATAGGTACCGGTCCGGCGGGAAGGTAAACGGCGTTTCCATGCGCTGCTCTGGTTTGCCAGAAGCGGCTTAGTCGTGCTGGCCACATGACCCGGAAGCTGTACGCCGTCTCCCTCGGCCAGTAAAGCGAGATGAGTGCCGCAACCCCAGAGTCGGCCACGACTGGACCTAATGGTCAGGGGTCCCTTTACCTTTTTAAGCAGCTAACATTCTCCTTTCCCTTCCTGCCCCACAACAAACACTCTGTGAGGTGAGTGGGGCTGAGAGACTTCAGAGAAGTGTGACTGGCCCAAGGTCACCCAGCAGCTGCAGGTGGAGGAGCGGAGACGCAAACCTGGTTCACCAGATTACGAGTCCACCGCTCTTAACCACTACACCACACTGGCTCTCTAACATTAAATTATGGAGCTCTCTTGTTAACACCCCCTTCAACAACACATCTCACATTGCTGTAAATTTTGGTTTGATGGAAATGCCCTGCAACTCCCAATTTAAGTGTAACACAAGCCCATTACAAAACTTACTTGCTTGAATTAAAGTTAAAGGGACCCCTGACCATTAGGTCCAGTCGGGCAGGAGCTGGGACCGAGCAACGGGAGCTCACCCTGTTGCAGGGATTCGAACCGCCGACCTTCTGATCGGCAAGTCCTAGGAACATGAAGGGTGGAATCCACGCCGCCAGCCAAGGTCAATTGTATTCATCATTAAAACATAATTCCACCAGATGTATTCAAGTATACACCAGTGCTGCAGCTAAATTGGCATCAAAGTCAAAGTCAGTAAGGCAAAGTTCTCCTGCCTGTTATTGATATTATGCTTGTCTCATTTGTTTGGACCTCTCAAGGGAGCCAGGTGTTCTGATTAGAGCCAGAGAAATTGTCGCCAGCTTTCTCAATTGCAGCCCTGGTTTTTTCCAGCGCCAAGCAAACAATCTTTCTACTCCCCTGGGCTTACAAACTTTTTAATTATGTGTGATGGTTGACGCCGGTTGCTTTTCTCCCAAGAAGCAGGCGTCTTTTAATTTCGTGGCTGCTGTCACCATCTGCAGTGATCATGGAGCCCAAGAAAGTAAAATCTCTCACTGCCTCCATTTCTTCCCCTTCTATTTGCCAGGAGGTGATGGGCCCAGAGGCCATGATCTTAGTTCTTTTGATGTTGAGCTTCAGACCATATTTTGCGCTCTCCTCTTTCACACTCATTAAAAGGTTCTTCAATTCCTCCTCACTTTCTGCCAACCAGGTTGTGTCATCTGCATATATGAGGTTTTGTTTATTGATGTTTTAATGTTTTATTGATGTTTTAATATTATTTAAACCGCTTTGAGGCTTTTCTTAAAAAAATATAGAGCGGTGTAGAAATGAAATAAATAATAATAATAATGCAAAGGAAATGAAAAGGAGAGCCCAAAAAACAAAATACATCTCTAAACCCAGCCAGATGGTCGGGGTACAAAAAATAAATTATTATTGTTGTTATTATTGTTGTTGTTGTTATTATTATTATTGTTATTATTTTTATTATCTCTATCTCTCAATATCTACGTGTGTTCTAAAACGCGATCCCGGAAATCGCCGACACACACATAGCGCTAGACCCCTCTTCATTTTTTGTCTAACTCTAGCGACCACGCTGCGCCCTGCGGCCGCCTCCCTGCGCATGCGCCTCCCCCGCAATGCCTCCTGGGAGTCGTAGTTTCCTCCACACGCGCTCCAGCTTACACGGCTGCGCGAAGCGGGATGCCTATTGGCTGGCGTGGAGGAGAAGGAGGCGGAGCAACGCCGCGCCTGCGCAGTCGGGACCAGCCAATGTGGTCTGGGTGGGAGCTGAGATGAGGGGGGTTTAAGAGAGGGGCATGTCCATGCTGAAGCTGCAGGGGGCGCTGCTGCTGCGGGGCACAGGTAGGCAGTTCAACAGGTGGGGAGGGGGAGGGGGGAGTCAGGCAGCCACCTCCCCCCACACAATTCCACCCCCCCAAAAAAATTGGGGAGGGGCTGGGGCCCTATTCCATCCTATAATATGGGGAGAGTGTGGGGTGGAGTGGGGTAGGGGGTCCTCAGTGGGAGGGCTGCGTCTAATTCACCCCTGACGCTCTTTCGGTGGCTCCCCCGATGGGGAGAGAAGCCCCCCTACCCATAATTGCAAATTGGAGGGGAGGGGGTTGGACCCTTCTTCCCATATAGGGGGGCATCTGGCAGCCAGCTTCCCCTACACAGACACACCAAAAAATTTGGGGAGGGGGCTGGGGCCCTAAAGGTAAAGGAATCTCTGCTCTTGCCAACCTAGCAGTTCGAAAGCACGTCAAAGTGCAAGTAGATCAATAGGTACCGCTCCAGCGGGAAGGTAAATGGCGTTTCCGTGCGCTGCTCTGGTTCACCAGAAGCAGCTTAGCCCTGCTGGCCACATGACCCGGAAGCTGTACGCCGGCTCCCTCGGCCAGTAAAGCGAGATGAGCGCCGCAACCCCAGAGTCGGTCACGACTGGACCTAATGGTCAGGGGTCCCTTTACCTTTACCTTTAAATTCAATTAATAATAATAAGAAGAAGAATACAGGACAAGACTGTATCAACACAGGACGCATTGCATTTTATATTGAAATACAGGACATTTCTGTATTATACCGGACAGGTGACAACCCTATACGTGTGCGTGAAGCCTTCCCTGTCTTGTAATTTGCAGAGGAGGATGAAACCCTTTCCCCCTTTACAGTTGCTTCGTTGCCGCTTAACGACGGGGCTGGATCCATCCCTTTTCCTTCATTTTGTGTGGGCAGTGTCTTCGTATTACTTAACAGGAGGTCTCGCTCTTTTCTGCCCACCCCCCGCTGCCCCCAGAACAAGGGTGGGAATTAAACTTCGTAGTTTGGGGTGTGGTGGGAAGCGGACTTAGTCTCTCCTCATTCTGGTTTCCCTTCAATATTCTCCCCTTTAACGCTTGCCCTTTCCGTTGTGTTTCAGAGAGCCTTTGGATCAGAGTGAGAAATTACTCCTCTGCCAGGGTGAAGGAAGAAGCCAGGAAAAGATGGGTGTGTGAACAAGTAGAGTTGTTGGAAGGTAAGCATAATATAACACGGGTGGCGCTGTGGGTTAAACCACAGAGCCTAGGACTTGCCAATCAGAAGGTCGGCAGTTCGAATCCCTGCGACGGGGTGAGCTCCCGTTGCTCAGTCCCTGCTCCTGCCAACCTAGCAGTTTGAAAGCACGACAAAGTGCAAGTAGATAAATAGGTACCACTCTGGTGGGAATGTAAACGGCGTTTCCGTGCGCTGCTCTGGTTCACCAGAAGCGGCTTAGTCCTGCTGGCCACATGACCCGGAAGCTGTATGCCGGCTCCCTCGACCGATAAAGCGAGATGAGCGCCGCAACCCCAGAGTCGGTCATGACTGGACCTAATGGTGAGGGGTCCCTTTACCTCTTAAGCATTGTATTATTATTATTTTTTAAACCCTTCCTATTTAACCAGTTCTATTAAGGAAAGTTATATTATTATTATTATTATTATTATTATTATTATTATTATATATTCATACCCAACCTTTTCCCCCAGACAAGGTCTCAAAGCGACTTATAGAGAACAACTAAAGAAAACCCTTTACATTTGTGTGGCTAAGCAAACACTCTTAGGAGATGCACCTCTGATCTCTCTCCCTCTCTCTCTCTCTCTCTCTCTCTCTCTCTCTCTCTCTCTCTCGTGAAAGCATTGGGTTCTTTTGCTTAGCAAATGAGCAGCACCCTAAGCACTGAATTCTCTAAAACGAAAATTGGCTCTCAGGTTTCCCGATTCTAACTGGAACGTTGGAAGCGGCAATATCCCAATTGCTTATTTGGAAAAGGGCTGGCATTCTTTTATAATCCAGAGGTACCACTATATCTGTCTGGAAACTCTAGAAACGGCTCCCTTTCCTTTCCTAAGGAAGCTGCAGAACTGTGGGCTGAACCCCATAAAAACAGGATTATTTCCCTTTGCAAAGTAAGCTCAACAACTGTGAGCTGATCCTTCAAAAACCGGGGCTTTCCACCTTTCCTCCTCTAAAAACTTTCTTTAGTCGTTTAGTCGTGTCCGACTCCTCGTGACCCCCTGGACCAGAGCACGCCAGGCCCTCCTGTCTTCCACTGCCTCCCGCAGTTTGGTCAAACTCATGCTGGTAGCTTCCAGAACACTGTCCCACCATCTCGTCCTCTGTCGTCCCCTTCTCCTTGTGCCCTCCATCTTTCCCAACATCAGGGTCTTTTCCAGGGAGTCTTCTCTTCTCCTGAGGTGACCAAAGTCTTGGAGCCTCAGCTTCAGGATCTGTCCTTCCAGTGAGCACTCAGGGCTGATTTCCTTCAGAATGGAGAGGTTTGATCTTCTTGCAGTCCATGGGACTCTCAAGAGTCTCCTCCAGCACCACAATTCAAAAGCATCCATTCTTTGGCGATCAGCCTTCTTGATGGTCCAGCTCTCACTTCCATACATCACTACTGGGAAAACCCTCTAAAAACTAGGTGCGTCTTATTTACGGATGCCTTCTTTAACTCAGCGCGCCGCATTCCCCAGCGATTCAATTCTTCCTTTCCTTTCCTCCCCTGCAGTGCTGGAGGCAAGAGTGCAGCAGCTGAAGGCCGAAAATGTATCGGAGGTGGCGGTCAGCGAGGTCCAACGCTCCCGCCTGCGCAAGTTCAGCTCCCTCCCGCCCGCCCCGCGGAAAACGGCCGCTGCCAGCCCGGCTCGGACCGAGAGCGCCCTGAAACGCGAGGAAAAGCCCCAGCCTAGCCGCTGGACCGAGAAGCTGAAGAAGGAGAAGTCGATGAAGAACAAACGCCTTCTGAAACTGGAGGCCAAGCTCTCAGCCGCCGTCCCGGGCGACGTGGCTGAGCCTGCCCTGGAGTGGATTGGGCCCGGCGCGAAGGACGAAGATTTCTCCCTGCACTCTCCCGCTAAAGAGACCCGGGCAAAGCTCAAGGCGCGAGCGTCTAAGTCGCAGAAGTCCAGCAAAGCCGACGATGGCCAGCCAAACAAGACTGCCAAAGTCTCGATCGGGACGCAGTCTCGGGATCCTTCCAGGAGCTGCGAGGAACTGGGGGAGCCCTTTCGGGTCTGGGACGCCGCCGAGGGGACGCTCCCCCTGGACGAGGAAGACGGGAACCGCCACATGAACGTCAAGCTGAACATTTTGTCCTATCTGGACGCCTGCCTTTTTCTCGGTCAGCCCGAAAGGGCCCAGCAGTGCTTGATGTTTTATCACCGCTCCCACGCCCGCAGGAAGCGCCTTGACGTCCGAATGTACAATCTCGTTATGCAAGGGTACGCCAAGAAGGTAAGGAGATTTGCATCCCTTCTTGCAGTGGTAGTGCCAGGGTGGATAAAAATTCAATTCTTTTTTTTAAATAACAAATCTGATCTTTTTGATTTAAATCGGATTTTTTGTTATTTAAATCAGATTTTTAAATTTAAATCAGATTTTAAAATTTAAATCAGATTTTTAAAATAAAATGCTTTTGGAGGAAATATCTTTTATAAAGATTTTCTATTTACCGTATTTTTTGCTCTATAAGACACACCAGACCACAAGATGCACCTAGTTTTTGGAGGAGGAAAACAAGGAAAAAAATATTCTGAATCCCAGAAGCCAGAACAGCAAGAGGGATTGCTGCGCAGTGAAAGCAGCAATCCCTCTTGCTGTTCTGGCTTCTGGGATAGCTGCACAGCCTGCATTCGCTCCATAAGATGCACACACATTTCCCCTTACTTTTTAGGAGCGGAAAAGTGAGTCTTATAGAGCAAAAAATACGGTAAGTTATATTATAGTCCAGTCCCACTTCTGACACCAAGGGACACGGATGGTGCTGTGGGTTAAACCACAGAACCTAGGACTTGCCGATCAGAAGGTTGGCGGTTCGAATCCCCGCAATGACGGGGTGAGCTCCCGTTGCTCGGTCCCTGCTCCTGCCAACCTAGTAGTTCAAAAGCACGTCAAAGTGCAAGTAGATAAATAGGTACCGCTCCGGCGGGAAGGTAAACGGCGTTTCCGTGCGCTGCTCTGGTTCGCCAGAAGCGGCTTAGTCCTGCTGGCCACATGACCCGGAAGCTGTACGCAGGCTCCCTCGGCCAGTAAAGCGAGATGAGCGCCACAACCCCAGAGTCGTACACGACTGGACCTAACAGTCAGGGGTCCCTTTACCTTTATAGTCCAAAGGCTATTCATCAGGAAATAAGGATTTATTTTAAGTTTCTCATGTGTGCTAAAACTCACTCTAAGTTGTTTTGTTTTTTTTAAAAAAAAGTTTAACCACATTAGTTAACAAACATGGACACATATGCTATAATGTTATTGCTTTACTTAAATGAATTGTTTAAATTGTTATGAAGGAAATGTTTTCTTCTTCCAATAAAGCACAGCAGAAAAGTTGTCCAAATATAAACAGTTAATTTATTAAACCTCACAATGATTTCATTATTATCAGTCTGTGTGTTTCTAAGGGTATAACCAAGTCAGTAATTTTTGATATAACTGTAAAAACTACTCTGAAAATTTATAATTCCGAAAATGAAAGCTTCCTCTGTTTGTAAATATTAAGATTATACCAGCAAGAATGAGTCTTTCTGTAAAAAAAGTGATTTAAAACAAGTCTTACTGACTAGTGATTTAAATTAAGTCTTACTGACTAGTGATTTAAATCGTGATTTAAATCGATTTGATTTAAATCAAGCCCACCCTGGGTAGCGCAGATCTCTCTGGATTTTGGCATTGCAAGGTAGCTGAGGAAGGGATTATTTTATACAGTGGTACCTTGGCTTTTGAACGTAATCCGTTCTGGAAGACCGTTCGACTTCCGAAACGTTTGAAAACCGAGTCGCAAAGGGCGGTCTGCAAATTCAATTGAGAAAAAACACTCAACGGAATTTGTTTGACTTCCGAGACGAGTTTGCAAACGGAAGCATTTGCTTCTGGGTCTTCTGCGTTCGGGTTCCGAAACGTTTGTCAACGGAGATGTTCGAGAACCGAGGTACCGCTGTTCATTGTTTGGGACAATGCAAAACATGACAGAAATATTTCGCGTTTCATGACTCCTTCATGGATTTTAATGGTTAAAGCAATGGTGGGGTTTTTTTAACGTTGCTTAAATCAGAAAACCGTTGTGCCGTCTCGACTGTTTTAAGGTGGAAAAGAAAATATGAAACGCACCGTTTTGTAAAATTAATGAGCAGTTACCAAGACAATGGCCTGGTTCTAACACAATGCTAAAACCATATAGCATGGGTAGGCAAACTAAGGCCCGGGGGCCGGATCTAGCCCAATTGCCTTCTCAATCCGGCCTGAGGATTGTCCAGGAATCAGCGTGTTTTTACATGAGTAGAATGTGTGCTTTTATTTCAAATGCATCTCTGGGTTATTTGTGGGGCATAGGAATTCGTTCATTTTTTTTTCTTCCAAAGTACACTCTGGCCCACCTCAAGGTCTGAGGGACAGTGGACTGGCCCCCTGCTGAAAAAGTTTGCTGATCCCTGCTATATAGCTTAAAGGTAAAGGGACCCCTGACCATTAGGTCCAGTCATGGCCGACTCTGGGGTTGCGGTGCTCATCTCGCTTTACTGGCCGAGAGAGCCGCCGTACAGCTTCCGGGTCATGTGGCCAGCAGGACTAAGCCGCTTCTGGCGAACCAGAGCAGCGCACGGAAACGCCGTTTACCTTCCTGCCGAACCGGTACCTATTGATCTACTTGCACTTTGAGGTGCTTTCAAACTGCTAGGTGGGCAGGAGCAGGGACCGAGCAATGGGAGCTCACCCCGTTGCGGGGATTCAAACCGCCGACCTTCTGATTGGCAAGTCCTAGGCTCTGTGGTTTAACCCACAGCGCCACCCGCGTCCCTTTCTATATAGCTTAGCACTATGCAAATGGCTTCAGACGAGTCACAGGCTCACGCTTCTCTTGCAAGGGGTTGGTTGGAAGAATTCACTTCGGGGCGAAGGGCTTTGTAGCTCAGCAGCAAAGCATCTGCCTTGAATGCAGATAAGCAACAAGCCCTGGTCCTGGTTTGAATATCCTGTCCTTTCTTTCTCCCCCCAGGGCCTCCTGTCACAGGTTGGCAGACTCTTCCACCTCCTCGAGGAAGCTGGCTTGAGGCCCAACCCGGACTCTTACGCCGCTGCGCTCGCTTGCATGGGGCAGTGTGAGGCGTCTCACAACATCATCTTCAGGTGTTAATCTTCTCATTGGTCCCTTCTTGCTCAGCGACAGCGGTGGTGCAGTGGTTAGAGCATTGGGGCTGTGGCCTGGGTTCGAATCCCCACTCTGCCATGAAGTTCACTGGGTGACCTTGGGCCAGTTGACACTCTCAGCCTAACCCACCTACCGGATTAAACGAACTCAGGAAACCAGGGTTTGACTCCCCCACTATGGCCATGAAGCTTTCAGGGATGGGGGGGGCATTGGGGACCAGTCACCGCCTCTCCACCTAACCTACCTGACAGGTGTGTGGTTGACTGAGAAGGGCCATGTACACCATCTTAAGCTCCTTGGCAGAAAACGTGATCTACAGATATCTTTCTATATAAATAGAAATGAAGGGTGTCGTCGCGCTATGCATTCCAATGGGAATAGCAAGCTTCTCTGTCCTCCCTTCTCCTGTAGAAGGGGGGGGGGGAGGTTAGTGCTTGTGCCAGGAGATATGTGGGGAACTTGAATAATAACATTCACTTCTCCATTTCCCATAAACCAACTCCCCCTCCCTCCCAGTCTTCAAGTCCCGATACCGCAAGTTCATTTTCCTTACTGTGCATAAAGTCCAGAAGAGTTTTCCAATCATTCATAAATCGCCAGCGGTGATTATAAGCATGTTGACTTTGCCGTCTCAGCCAAAGCCATTCATTTCGATAGGCGTTTTTTGATAGGCGGTAATGACGAGTCTCCACAAGAGGAATGGGAGGGGGCCACTTTCTACGGACACTGCTGACCCAAGCCTCTTTCTTTGCCGTTCCTTCCTCTCCCCCCCCCCCCCGGACCTCCACAGATGCCTTCAGCAACTCAAGGAAGACGGCTTTCAAGTGAAGGACCTCTTCCGGGACTCTGGGTTCGAGGAAGACTGGAGGAAGATGGTTCTGAAAGCCGTCCGGAGGGTTGTGGAAGACTTCCAGCCCCCGCCTCCTCGCCCTGCCGAAATCTGCACGGTTCCCCTACTTCGGGACTTCTACGCGAAGGTAACAAGAACAACAACAACAATTATTGTTATTATTTATACCCCACCCATCTGGCTGGCTTTCCCCAGACACTCTGGGCAGCTTCCAGCAGGATATTACAAACACGATTTAACATCCAACATTAAAAACAGGACTGCCTTCAGATGTCTTCTAAAAGTCAGATACAGTAGTTGTTTATTTCCTTGACTTTGGTGGGAGGGTGTTCCACAGGGCGGGTGCCACCACCGAGAAGGCCCTCTGCCTGGTTCCCTGTATCTTCGCTGCTCACAGGGAGGGCACCGCCAGAAGACCCTCGGAGCTGGGCCTCAGTGTCTGGGCTGGACGATGGGGGTGGAGATGCTCCTTCAGGTATACTGGGCTGAGGCTGATTAGGGCTTTCAAGGTCAACACCAACACTGGGAGCCGGTGTAGGTCTTTCAGGACTGGTGTTATGTGGTCTCGGCGGCCGCTCCCAGTCACCAGTCTGGCTGCCGCATTCTGGATTAGTTGCAGTTTCTGAGTCACCTTCAGAAGTAGCCCCATGTAGAGTGCGTTGCAGTAGTCCAAGCGGGAGATAACCAGGGCATGGACCACTCTGGAGAGACTGTCTGCGGGCAGGTACGGTCTCATCCTGTGTACCAGATGGAGGTAGTAGACAGCTGCCCTGGACACAGAGTGGACCTGTTCCTCCATGGACAGTGATGAGTCTAAAATGACCCCCACCTGGTCCTTCGGGGGCACAGTTACCCCATTCAGGACCAGGGAGTCCCCCAAACCTGCCCGCCCCTGTCCCCCCAAAACAGTGGATCCCCAAGCCCCAAGAACAGTCTAGCTGAGGTTAGTAAACGCTGGGGATAAGGAACACAGGAGAGGTCTCTACCACCTTAATGCCCTTTGCCTGCTGAGCGGCACTAGGTAAAGGTAAAGGGACCCCTGACCGTTAGGTCCAGTTGTGGCCGACTCTGGGGTTGCGGTGCTCATCTTGCTTTATTGGCCGAGGGAGCCGGCGTACAGCTTCCGGGTCATGTGGCCAGCAGGACTAAGCCGCTTCTGGCGAACCAGAGCAGCTCACGGAAACGCTGTTTACCTTCCCGCCGGAGCGGTACCTAGTTATCTATTTGTGCTGGCGTGCTTTCGAACTGCTAGGTTGGTAGGAGCAGGGACCGAGCAACGGGAGCTCACTCCGTCGCAGGGATTCGAACCGCCGACCTTCTGATCGGCAAGCCCTGTGCTCTGTGGTTTAACCCCATGGTGCCCTGCCAACCCCCTGCCCACTTTTCTTTTTCGCCCCAGGGGAAGCCCGTCTCCTACCCCAAGCTCGATTTCACGGCGCAAGAACTGCGGGACCAGTTCCGGAAGCAGCTGGCGATGGAGGCGTCGGACACGGTCACCATCGACTCCGTGGAGGCAGCCAAGCCCTTGACGGAGGAAGCCAGCAGAGCGGTAAAAGGATGAGAGAGAGAAAGAATTTGAACCGTTAAAACGAAAAGGGTCCAACAGTGTTGAAATTTTGGGAGGCTGGATAGTTGCCATGGAATCCGGGTGGATTTGATTCAAATCAAATCGATTTAAATTGCGATTTAGATCACTAGTCAGTAAGACTTGATTTAAAATCCCTAGTCAGTAAGACTTGATTTAAAATCACTAGTCAGTAAGACTTGATTTAAAATCACTATTCAGTAAGACTTGATTTAAAATCACTCGACAGTAAGACTTGATTTAAATCACTTTTTTACAGAAAGACTCATTCTTGCTGGTATAATCTTAATACTTACAACCATATAAAGGTTTCATTTTTGGAATAACTTTCCAGAGTAGTTTTTACGGTTTACATCAAAAATTACTGATTTGGTTATACTATTAGAAATACATTGATAATTATGAAATTATTGCGAGGTTTAATAATTTAACTGTTTATATTTGGACAACTTTTCTGCTGTACTTTACTTGAAGGAGAAAAATAATCATTTCCTTAATAACCATTTAAACGATCTATTTAACTAAAACAATGACATTATAGCACATTCATCCATGTTTGTTAACTGATGTGTTAAACATAAAAAAAAAAAAAACTTAGAGTGAGTTTTAGCACACAGGAAAAACTTAAATCGTGATTTAAATTGATTTGATTTACATCAGATCCACCCTGCCATGATGCCAGCTACCGGTGGAGATTAGCCAGGAGGGGGAAAACCATGAGAGGAGCTGCTTCCTTTGAAACCCGGGAAATTTAAGGGACATCATCAATAAGGGACAGCAGCAGGACACGGCGCTGGGATAAGGGACTGTCCTGCCAAATAAGGGACACTTGACAGCTATGAGTTTGCGGCCGGCTTGCTGCTGCGGTGCCCTGAAGCGGCAGTCCGCCTATCCTCCTCTCTCTGCAGCCCTGGGAATACGCTGCGGCCACTTACCGTATTTTTCGCTCCATAAGACGCACTTTTTTCCTCCTAAAAAGTAAGGGGAAATGTCTGTGCGTCTTATGGAGCGAATGCGTGGTCCCTGGAGCCAAATTGCCCAGGGGTGAAAAGCAGATCGTGCTTTTTTTTTTTTTTTTTTTTTTACAAAGAGGAAAGAGGGTGTTGAAACGACTCCGCTAAGCAGCTGATCGGCAAGTGATCGGAAGGGAGATAAGGGATGCTAGCGATAAAGGAGGCTGCCTGGGAGGGGGGAGGTAAAAGCACATGGATCCTCAGGATTTTTGCATTGGGTCACCCCAAATTCACCATCAGATCACATAGCATGTCCATGGCTATAGCCTGCACCAAAAAAAATCACACATCCACTGTTCTGTGGTTACAAAGCACGGATCCACATGGATTCTCAGGATTTTTGCATTGGGCTACCCCAAACTTACTGTCAAATCACATATCGTGTCTGTGGCCACAGCATGAACCACAACAATCATACATTCACTGTTTCGTTCAGAATTATTCTTTTTCTAGTTTTCCTCTTCTAAAAACTAGGTGTGTCTTATGGTCAGGTGCGTCTTATGGAGCGAAAAATACGGTAATGCCCCATTGTGATGATGATAATGATGATGTAACTTTCTTTACGGTTTTGCTCATGTGCAGCGGAGTCTCCTGTCCGTCCTCCGCAGCCGCTGGCGCACATCTCTCTTGCAGAGCCTGCAAGAATCCAAGCTGCACATGGCGCAACGGAATTCGGGTCAGCTAAACCTCTACCCCTTCCTCTGCGTTCTGAAAGACGAAGAATACGTTGACGTCCTCATGCGGGTAAGAGGGTTTCTTCCCCCCCCCCCATAATTTTTAAAAACTTTTCCGCCTTACGTGTTAGAATATTCATTTAAACAACCTTAAAATATCAATTCATCATGCGAAAGGCTGAGCTGGATAAATCCCAAGCCGGAATTAAGATTGCTGGAAGAAATATCAACAACCTCAGATATGCACATGACACAACCTTGATGGCAGAAAGTGAGGAGGAATTAAAGAACCTTTTGATGAGGGTGAAAGAGGAGAGCGCAAAATATGGTCTGAAGCTCAACATCAAAAAAACGAAGATCGTGGCCACTGGTCCCATCACCTCCTGGCAAATAGAAGGGGAAGAAATGGAGGCAGTGAGAGATTTTACTTTCTTGGGCTCCATGATCACTGCAGATGGTGACAGCAGCCACGAAATTAAAAGACGCCTGCTTCTTGGGAGTAAAGCAATGACAAACCTAGACAGCATCTTAAAAAGCAGAGACATCACCTTGCCAACAAAGGTCCGTATAGTTAAAGCTATGGTTTTCCCAGTAGTGATGTATGGAAGTGAGAGCTGGACCATCAAGAAGGCTGATGGCCGAAGAATGGATGCTTTTGAATTCTGGTGCTGGAGGAGACTCTTGAGAGTCCCATGGACTGTGAGAAGATCAAACCGATCCATTCTTAAGGAAATCAGCCCTGAGTTATCACTGGAAGGACAGATCCTGAAGCTGAGGCTCCAAGACTTTGGCCACCTCATGAGAAGAGAAGACTCCCTGGAAAAGACCCTGATGTTCCTTTTTAACCAGGCCTTTGGTTGATCTGATTTACATCCTATCCCCTTTTAAAATGTGTTTTGTTTTTTTTGTGGGGTGGGGTATTGGATTGTCGTTTTTATTTTTATTATGCATTTTGTGGTTTTATATCTTGGATTTTATTCTGTGAACTGCCCTGAGACCCCTGGGTATAGGGTGGTATGTAAGTTCAATAAATAAAGTAATAACCTCCTTTCTCCCCCAGAGCCTCAACAACCTGTCGCCGCAAGGGGAGTCTCTCCTGGTCTTGGCAAGGGAACTGGGCTCCAAAGTCTACAGCAAGTTCATGTTGCAGAAGAAATCCAGGAGCCGCTTGGTGGAGAAGATCCAGCGGCTGTACGACAAATACGTGCAGCTGCTCGCGAAGGACACTCAGGTAAGCGCCGTCGCCTTCACGCCCCCGGTCCTGCTCAACCAAGTCTCCCGAATTCCTTCCTTCTTTCCGTGACATTTGTATCCTGCCTTCCCTCCCGAGACACAATGGTTCTCCCCCTTTTTGCCGTCACGACAACCCTGGAAGGTAGGTTGGGCTGAGAGCGAGCGACTGGCCAAAGGTCGCCTGGTGAAGTGGAGATTCGAACCCGAGTCTCTCCCAGTCATAATCCAGCCCTCTAACATATCCAGCCCTGTAAAATTGGCTCTCAGTGTTCATCTTACCGTTTTGTTTTGTAGTGTTACGGGTTACGTTTAATGGAATGTTTTCGACTGCTGGAATAATTTCCAATACAGTGGTACCTTGGGTTACATACGCTTCAGGTTACAGACTTTGCTAACCCAGAAATAGTGCCTCGGGTTAAGAACTTTGCTTCAGGATGAGAACAGAAATCGTGCTCTGGCGGCGCAGCGGCAGCAGGAGGCCCCATTAGCTAAAGTGGTGCTTCAGGTTAAGAACAGTTTCAGGTTAAGAACGGACCTCCGGAACAAGTAAAGTACTTAACCCGAGGTACCACTGTAATAATAATCATAATTTATTATTTATACCCTGCCCATCTGGCCAGGCCTCCCCAGCCACTCTGGGCGGCTCCCAACAGAATATTAAAAACACGATAAAACATCAAACATGAAAAACTTCCCCAAACAGGGCTGCCTTCTGATGTCTTGTAAAAGTCAGATAGTTGTTTGACATCTGATGGGAGGATGTTCCACAGGGCGGGCGCCACCACCGAGAAGCCCCTCTGCCTGGTTCCCTGTAGCTTCACTTCTCGCAGGGAGGGAACCACCAGAAGGCCCTTGGAGCTGGACCTCAGTGTCCGGGGAGAACGATGGGGGTGGATACGCTCCATCAGGGATACTGGGCCATTTAGGGCTTTAATGGTCAGCACGAATACTTTGAATTGTGCTCGGTAACATGCTGGGACCCTATGTAGCTCTTTCAGGACCAGTGCTATATGGCCTCTCCCAGTCACCAGTCTAGCTGCCGCATTCTGGATTAGTTCTGGTTTCCAGGTCACCTTCAAAGGCAGCCCCACGGAGAGCGCATGGCAGTAGTCCAAGCGGGAGATAACCAGAGCGTGGACCACCGACAAACATCGGTAAAAGAACCGGGGACTTCAGTCGCCTCTAACCTCGAACCCTTCCTTTCCCGCAGCCGGACGGCTACCTGCCTCGCGAGTACTGGGAGAAGCTGGCGGCCGAGGACGGCTGCAGCCCCTCGCTGGTGTGCAAGGAGCAGCTCTGGCCCCATGCCCTTCTCGTGCAACTGGGCTTGCACCTGGTGGAGCTGCTGGTGCAGGTTCTCAAGATGGAGAGCAACCTCTTGAACCCGGGACTGGAGCAGAAGCTCATCCCCGTCCTCTACCACGTCTACTCCTTCCGCAGCGGCCGCCAGGTAGGGGGACGGGGCAAGGACCCGCCGGTTGCAAATTAGCAGCGGCTAGGAGGAAAGCTTTGCTTGCAATGGACAGGAAACTGGGGCGGGGCCTATGTGGTCGTGGTGGGCGGGGCCAGGGCAAAAGTGGGCGGGGCAACGGAGGTGGGCGGGGGCTGCATTGCGACCTTTAAAGCCCTATACGGCCTAGAACCCTCGTACCTACGGGAGCACCTCTCCTGGTATGTCCCACAGAGGAACTTACAATCGTCAAACAAAAACATCTTGGCGGTCCCGGGCCACAGGGGGGTTAGGCTGGCCTCGACCAGAGCCAGGGCCTTTTCGGCTGTGGCCCCGATCTGGTGGAATGCTCTGCCACAAGAGACTAGGGCCCTGTGGGACTTGACATCTTTCCGCAGGGCCTGCAAGACGGAGCTGTTCCACCAGGCCTTTGGTCAGGGCACAGCCTGACTCCCTCCTTTGGCAATCCTCACAGAACTTCTAGCCCAATGGTTGTAATTAGTCTGATTTGAACTGATTTTATAATGAAATGATTTTAGAATGTTGTATTATTTTATTGTTGTTAGCCGCCCTGAGCCCGGCTTTGGCTGGGGAGGGCAGGATATAAATAAATAAATAAAATCATTATTATTATTATTCCAGGGCTTGGGTACCTCTCATTCATCCTTGGACCCCTTCCCTCTCTCGTCGCCCCCTCTTTCCCACTCCCCGTCTCTCTGTCAGCCCCCTTAACCCCTTCTCTCTCAGCCTACTACTTTTTATTATTGTTACTATCAAAATAAATTTGTTTTCAATTTAAAAAATCCAATATATGCCACATGGTATCAGTACCAGATTACCCCACACATTTCTCGTTAACATTAACAAATAATCAACAAGAAGACATTTTTACCACCCCACCCCCCAAATCCCCGAACCACCGACCTTCTGATCGGCAAGCCCTAGGCTCTGTGGTTTAGACCACAGCGCCACCCACGTCCCATTTAGAAACAGTTAAAAGGTAAAGGGACCCCTGACCATTAGGTCCAGTTGCGGATGACTCTGGGGTTGCGGCGCTCATCTCGCTTTATTGGCTGAGGGATCCGGCGTACAGCTTCCGGGTCATGTGGCCAGCAGGACTAAGCCGCTTCTGGCGAACCAGAGCAGTGCACGGAAACGCCATTTACCTTCCCGCTGGAGCGGTACCTATTTATCTACTTGCACAGGCATGCTTTTGAACTGCTAGGTTGGCAGGAGCAGGGACCGAGCAACGGGAGCTCACCCCGTCATTGCGGGGATTCGAACCGCCAACCTTCTGATCGGCAAGCCCTAGGCTCTGTGGTTTAACCCACAGCGCCACCCTAGACCCGCCTTATACACGGGGAAAATAATGCAAGTGGTAAGTTCTCCCTCCTTTCCCCCCTGCAGGTGGGCTTCATCAGGCCGCACCCCCTGTTCGCCCGCCTTCTCATGGAGGCCGCCGAGACCACCCTGACCTTCGACTCCTTCGTCATCCCCATGCTCTGTCCGCCCATCCCCTGGGTGTCCACGCAGTTCGGCGCCTACGTCTTCGCCCCCACCAAGCTCATGCGCTACGTGGAAGGGGCGGTTCAGCACCAGCTGTTGCTGGACCGCGCCCCGCGCAGCAGCCTCTACCCTGTCATGGATGCCCTGAACCAACTGGGCAACTGCCCCTGGAAGGTCAACCAAGCCATCTTGGACGTGGTCATCTCCGTCTTCAACGACAAGGGCAACGAGAAACTGGACGTCCCCCCGCCGCCCTCGGAAGCCCCCCAGCCCGCTGCGCACTTCCCCGACGGGGCCGCCCCGAGCAAGGTGGCGCTCCGGCGGGAGGCGGCGCGGTGCCGCAAGAAGGCCACGGAAATGTACAGCCTTCGGATGGACGCGCTCTACAAGCTATCCATCGCCAAGCACATGAGCGGAAGGGTCTTCTGGTTCCCGCACAACGTGGACTTCCGGGGGAGGACTTATCCTTGCCCTCCTCACTTCAACCACTTGGGCAGCGACCTCACCAGAGCCATCTTGCTCTTTGCTGAGGGGCGGCCCCTGGGCCCCCATGGACTCGACTGGCTGAAGGTCCACCTCGTCAACCTCACGGGGCTGAAGAAGAAGGAGAGCCTGCGGAGCAGACTGGCCTACGCCAACGAAATCATGGAGGACATCTTGGATTCGGCGGATCGCCCCCTGACGGTGGGTCAGTGGAGAGGGGGTCAAGTGCCGGGTCCATTGCGGGCAGGAATTGGTCCGATCCAGGGGACGCAGAGACCTTGGGGGACACCCATCTTACCTGGAGAACAATAAAAATGATTACCGTATTTTTTGCTCTATAAGACTCACTTTTTCCCTCCTAAAAAGTAAGGGAAAATGTGTGTGCATCTTATGGAGCGAATGCAGGCTGCGCAGCTATCCTAGAAGCCAGAACAGCAAGAGGGATCGCTGCTTTCACTGCGCAGCGATCCCTCTTGCTGTTCTGGCTTCTGAGATTCAGAATATTTTTTTTCTTGTTTTCCTCCTCCAAAAACTAGGTGCGTCTTGTGGTCTGGTGCGTCTTATAGAGCGAAAAATACGGTATGCAGTGGTACCTCGGGTTACAGGCACTTCAGGTTACAGACTCCGCTAACCCAGAAATAGTACCTCGGGTTAAGAACTTTGCTTCAGGATGAGAACAGAAATCACACGGCGGCAGCAGGAGGCCCCATTAGCTAACATGGTACCTCAGGTTAAGAACAGTTTCAGGTTAAGACCGGACCTCCAGAACGAATTAAGTTCTTAACCCAAGGTACCACTGTATGCTGTTTTGATAAAGGTCACCCCAGATTATAGGTTGTACTCCTAAAATGAGATCTTGAAAGGGAAGGGTAGGGAACCCAAGGCCCGGGGGTCGGATGTGGCCCAATCGCCTTCTAAATCCGGCCCACAGACGGTCCGGGAATCAGCGTGTTTTTACATGAGTAGAATATGCGCTTTTATTTAAAATGCACCTCTGGGTTATTTGTGGGGCAAAGGAATTCGCTCATTCTCTCCCCCCCCTTCAATATATAATCTGGCCCCCCACATGGTCTGAGGGACGGTGGACTGGCCCCCTGCTGAAAAAGGTTGCAGACCCCTGTTGAAAGGGATGTGTTTGTGTGTTTGCTGGGGGTGTAAAATACAGAATTCTCACCAGACGTTAGGAGGTTTGTAGTACAGTCGTAACTGAATGCCTTGGTACTTGGACGTTTTGCCTTCTTTCCTAGCCTTCAGTGAGAATTTGCTTGAAGGCTTTAAAAAGTTAGGTGTATAATGGTGTCTTCCTGGTTCGCGCCATTCAGGTTCCCAGAGTCGTTTCCCATATAAATTCTTGATCTCCCTTAATGAAATTATCTGCGCTGCGCTGAATTATCATCAGTCTGATTGCTTGACAGCTTGGGTGTAATCGCAAGTGCTCTCGAACCTCGTTTATTGATTTTTTTATATATATATACAAATTCGCTTGTGCTGTTCTGGGTGGTTTTGTTGTAAAATGCAGATTTATTTACTTCCTTTTGCAATAACCCCCCCCCCCCAAAAAAAACCATGCCAATACTTAGAGAAATTTTGTGCACAAATAGACGAAATGAACGTTTTTAAGGGTCTTTAGGGTAAAGGGTGGCGCTGTGGGTTAAACCACAGAGCCTAGGACTTGCCGATCAGAAGGTTGGCAGTTCGAATACCCGCAACGGGGTGAGCTCCCGTTGCTCGGTCCCAGCTCCTGCCAACCTAGTTGTTCGAAAGCACGTCAAAGTGCAAGTAGATCAATAGGTACCGCTCTGGAGGGAAGGTAAGCGGCGTTTCCATGCGCTGCTCTGGTTCACCAGAAGCGGCTTAGTCCTGTTGGCCACATGACCCGGAAGCTGTACGCCGGCTCCCTCGGCCAGTAAAGCGAGATGAGCGCCGCAACCCCAGAGTCGGTCACGACTGGACCTAATGGTCAGGGGTCCCTTTACCTTTTTGTCTTGGGGTAAAAAGGTCGCCCAACTATAGGAGTACTCCTGGCGCCATCCCCGGGCGCGGGGGCTGACAGGCCTGTCTTGCAAGGTCTGTGCGTCAGCGTGGTCAGGATAGTTACAACCGGTAAGACCCGACCCAGATCGGCCATCTCGTCTCCACTCGGAACTGACAAGGCCATCCGTTAAGCCTTCATGGACCGATAAAGGAGAAGGCTTTGTTTATACAGCTGCTAATGGATCCTTGAAGAAAGAATTTGGGAATTTTGGGGCCCGGTTCGGGTGACTGCACAGTCAGGTTTGGGTAACCTGTTCCTTCAGTAATAGCAATAAGGACTGCCTCTTTCCGCGGAGGGAAAATAGCCCAATAGCCATGGATAGACTTCTCCTCCTCCAACAGTTTGCCCAGTCCTCTTTAAAAGTCGGTGCCCATCGCAGCCTCTTGTGGAAGGCAGTTCCAAAGTCCAACACTTTTCTTCTTTAGACTTCCACAGGTTTGAGCTTTATGGGAGGGTGGGGAGACTCTTCTCCACGCCGCTGTGCAGAATTTTCTCAAGTTTCTAGTCCTGGGTACGTCTCCTGGTCGGTTTAACCCTTTCCTCGCCTTACCCTTGCCAGGGCCGGAAGTGGTGGATGAGCACGGACGAGCCGTGGCAGGCATTGGCCTGTTGCATGGAGATCGCCAAGGCCACCAGAGCCCCGAACCCTGCTGAGTACATCTCCCATTTCCCTGTCCATCAGGTATGTATTGGGGGGGGGGCGCCTCTCCCCTCAAATGTGCTCCTTACCCCTTTCTGTTCATGAATTGGAAGTACAGTCGTACCTTGGGATCCCGAACGCCTTGCAAGTCAAACATTTCGGCTCCTAAATGCCGCAAACCCGGAAGTGGGCGTTCCGGTTTGCCAAAGTTCTTTGGAACCCGAATGTCCGACGCAGCTTCCGATTGGCTGCAGGAGGTTCCTGCAGCCAATCGGAAGCCGCGCCTTGGTCTCCGAACGTTTTGGAAGTCGAGCGGACTTCCGGAACGGATTCCGTCTGACTTACGAGGTATGGCCGTATCTCAGTGTGACACCCCAAATAACGCAAGCCCAAAGAATATTCATGCCCTCTCAAATCAATCTTGGAGAGAGAGATATCTAGCAGGGCCCCTCTTGTTGACGTATGTTTTATGACAGAAAAGTAGAACCTCCAGAGCCAGGGGCAGTCTACCTGCAATTCCTAAACACTGAGGACCAGGAGCATGCAAAGTGGGGGAGCTGTTGCCTGAAGCCTGAGCTTCCCACACATGAATCGGTTTGATCCAGCTGGGTTCCTATCCATCCATTTTATTTTAATCACCACCACCGCCGTCTGATTCCCTTTGCGCCTTTTCCCTCCTCCCCAGGACGGCTCCTGCAACGGGCTGCAGCACTACGCGGCCCTCGGGCGGGACATCGTGGGCGCCACCTCGGTGAACCTTTCCCCTTGCGACGTGCCACAAGATGTCTACAGTGGGGTGGCTCAGCAGGTAAGAGCTTGGCTCCGGGGCGCTCCCACTGTGGAAAAGCCTTTCGAGTTGTCCCTTCCTCCCCGAATGCGTGTCCTTCCAGTGAGCACTCAGGGCTGATTTCCTTAAGAATGGAGAGGTTTGATCTTCTTGCAGTCCTTGCCTTATGACGATGCCTTATGAGGAACGGCTAAGGGAGCTGGGCATGTTTAGCCTGGAGAAGAGGAGGTTAAGGGGTGATATGATAGCCATGTTCAAATATATAAAAGGATGTCACATAGAGGAGGGAGAAAGGTTGTTTTCTGCTGCTCCAGAGAAGCGGACACGGAGCAATGGATCCAAACTACAAGAAAGAAGATTCCACCTAAACATTAGGAAGAACTTCCTGACAGTAAGAGCTGTTTGACAGTGGAATTTGCTGCCAAGGAGTGTGGTGGAGTCTCCTTCTTTGGAGGTCTTTAAGCAGAGGCTTGACAACCATATGTCAGGAGTGCTCTGATGGTGTTTCCTGCTTGGCAGGCGGTTGGACTCGATGGCCCTTGTGGTCTCTTCCAACTCTATGATTCTATGATTCATGGGACTCTCAAGAGTCTCCTCCAGCACCAGAATTCAAAAGCATCCATTCAGCTCTCACGATGCCTTTGTCTTTTACCCCTTCCCCTCCTTGCTTGCAGGTGGAAGTGTACCGGAAGCGGGATGCTGAGCAGGGTGTCAAAATCGCACAGGTCCTAGATGGGTTCATTGGCCGCAAGGTGGTGAAACAGACGGTGATGACGGTCGTGTACGGGGTCACCCGCTACGGTGGGCGCCTCCAAATCGAGAAGCGCCTCAAGGAGATCGACGAGTTCCCGCAGGTCCTTCCTTCCTTCCTTCCTTCCTTCCTTCCTTCCTTCCTTCTTTCCTTTCTTTCTCTCTCTCTCTCTCTCTCTCTCTCTCTCTCTCTCTCTCTCTCCTTCTTCTGTCTAGCCCAGTGGTTCCCAAAGGCTGCGTCAGGAGAGGATGGCAAATGCATTGGGAAGACTTGAGGACAATCAGTGTGATATTATAGTATTACTCTACAAGGTGTGACTGGAAAGTTTGGCGAATGGTCACAGAAACCGGACAGCGAGAAATATTCGAACATGCGTGCCTTAAAGGTAAGGTAAAGGGACCCCTGACCATTAGGTTCAGTCGTGGCCGACACTGTGGTTGCAGCGCTCATCTCGCTTTACTGGCCGAGGGAGCCGGCGTGCAGCTTTCGGGTCATGTGGCCAGCAGGACTAAGCCGCTTCTGGCGAACCAGAGCAGCGCACGGAAACGCCGTTTTCCTTCCCGCCTGCGGTACCTATTTTTCTACTTGCACTTTTGACGTGCTTTTGAACTGCTAGGTTGGCAGGAGCAGGGACTGAGCAACGGGAGCTCACTCCATCGTGGGGATTCGAACCGCCGACCTTCCGATCGGCAAGTCCTAGGCTCTGTGGTTTAACCCACAGCGCCACCCGCGTCCCTGTGCATGCCTTACAGTCCTTCAAAGTAGGCCCCCTCTGATACAAGCACCGTTGACGTTTGTAGAACTGTTGGAAACTTCTGGAGAAGTCCTTTTTCCGTACTACTTTCAGTTCCCTCGTCACAGCGGCTTGGACGTGTGAAATGTTGGAAAAATCTGTTCCCTTTCAGTGAAGATTTCAGTTTTGGAAACAGAAAGAAATCCGGTGGGGCCAGATCAGGAGAATACAGAGGGTGGGACAACTCAGTAACCTCAGGAACGATTTCGCGCAGAATATGCAATTCTTCCGCCATCATTCGGACAGACAAACGCCGATCCCACATCAGTAACTCGCGGACTCTTGTTGACATTTGCTGCTGTTCTGCTCACCGCCGGTCTGCCAGACAGAGGGTCATCTTCGACGGTTTGCCGCCCTTCACGGAAATGCTTAAACCACTCATGTACACTGTTTTTCGAGTTGCAATTGTGCACAATTTTGTACATTTTGCATTTTGTGGGTTTCCGACACCGATTGTATGTTCTGATATTTCTCGTTGTCCGATTTCTGTGACCACGCACCAAACGTCCCGGTCACACCTTGTATTTTATCAACATTTATATTTTGGGATTGATTAATGTTCTTACAAGGGACGCAGGTGGCGATGTGGGTTAAACCACAGAGCCTAGGGCTTGCTGATCAGAAGGTCGGCGGTTCAAATCCCCGCAACAGGGTTAGCTCCCGTTGCTCAGTCCCTGCTTCTGCCAACCTAGCAGTTCGAAAGCACGTCAAAGTACAAGTAGATAAATAAGTACCGCTCCGGCGGGAAGGTAAACAGCGTTTCCGTGCGCTGCTCTGGTTCACCAGAGTCCTGCTGGCCACATGACCCAGAAGCTGTACGCCGGCTCCCTCGGCCAATAAAGCGAGATTAGCGCCGCAGCCCCAGAGTCGGTCACGACTGGACCTAATGGTCAGGGATCCCTTTACCTTTACCGTTAATGTTCTCGCACGGCTGCATCATTTCATGCTTTCTGCATGTTCCCACGGACTTGTGACAAAGCCGCCGCATTCTGTGTTACAAACCAAGCACTGCTGGGAGTTGATTCTTTCTGTTCTCCAATCTTTCTATTTAAAAAATCGGAGGCATTTTTTTCTCTCATTCCGAAAGTGCGGTGCAGAGAAGGGAGTTTGTGAACCGGGCGTCCGCACTGTCCTTGCAAAAGGGGCGAGGGGCAAAAGCGTTGTAAGGTTCCCCATTTCTGCCTCTTAACTATACCCGTTTTGCATTCCCTCCGCCCAGGAATACGTTTGGGAAGCATCTCATTACCTTGTGCAACAGGTCTTCAACAGCCTCAAGGAGATGTTCTCGGGAACTCGAGAAATCCAGGTAACCCCCGTGCCTTATTTATTTGCAAACAGTTCAGGGAGTGTTTTTAATGTTCTGTTGGGAGCCGCCCAGAGTGGCTGGGGAAACCCAGCCAGATGGGCAGGGTAGAAATATTATTATTATTATTATTATTATTATTAGTCCAGGGCAGCTGTTTATCAGCTCCATCTGGTACACAGGCTGAGACCCTCCCTGCCCGCAGACTGTCTGGCCAGAGTGGTGCATGCTCTGGTTATCTCTTGCTTGGACTACTGCAATGTGTTCTCTGTGGGGCTGGCTTTGAAGGTGACCCGGAAACTGCAACTAATCCAGAATGCGGCAGCTAGACTGGTGACTGGGAGCAGCCGCCGAGACCACATAACACCGGTCTTGAAAGACCTACACTGGCTCCCAGGATGTTTCCGAGCACAATTCAAAGTGTTGGTGCTGACCTTTAAAGCCCTAAACGGCCTCGGGTCCTGTATACCTGAAGGAGCATCTCCACAGCCCGGACACTGAGGTCCAGCTCCGAGGGCCTTCGGGCGGTTCCCTCGCTGCAAGAAGCCAAGTTACAGGGAACCAGGCAGAGGGCCTTCTCGGTAGTGGCGCCCGCCCTGTGGAACGCCCTCCCACCAGATGTCAAAGAGAAAAATAACTACCAAACTTTTAGAAGACATCTAAAGGCAGCCCTGTTTAGGGAAGCTTTCAATGTTTAATAGGTTATTGTATTTTAGTGTTTATTGGAAGCCTCCCAGAGTGGCTGGGGAAACCCAGCCAGATGGGTGGGGTATAAATAATAAATTATTATTATTATTTATTTCTGTACACAATGTGCTGAGTCGATTGCGCATATGTGCGGGGAACCTGTATGTCTTAGGGCAGGGGTCAGCCACCTAAGGCCCACGGGCCACAAGCAGCCCATGGGGGGTCATTTAACCGGCCCACAAGCCACCACCGAACCAAGCCACCCACTCAGTGAGTTCCTGCGCACTGAGCTAAACCAGCGCGGCACAGTGCAGGAACTCACTTCTGTGGTGCTGAAAATTGCGTCTGACCATAGCTGTCAACCGTCCCTTATTTGGCGGGAAACTCCCTTATCCCAGCGCCGTGTCCCGCTGCTGGCCCTTTTTGATGATGTCCCTTAAATTTCCTGGATTTATAAATCATTTGTCCACCCATAGTTCAAATTTTTACTACAAGTTTTCTGTCAATCCTACCAATGTCTGTAACTCTTTACAATAGCTTTTCAAATAAATTATAAACTTTCCCCATTCTTTATTAAAGAGGTCCTCTTCCTGGTTTCTAATTCTGCCTGTAAGCTTTGCCATCTCGGCGTTGTTCATCAGTTTTGTCTGCCACTCTTCTTTGGTGGGAGTTGTAGACCCTTAGGATCCTCTAGTCCAACCCCCTGCAAAACGCAGTCAGTGGCAGCCAAAGCAGCCTGGCTCCATCAGTGGCGGATTTCTGTATAAGCTAAGCAAAATCCCTTATTTTGGCTGCTGATCCCTTATTTTCGAGGCTGCTGGTCCCTTATTTTCCAATCTGCAAGTTGACAGCTATGGCTCAGACGCTGAAAATCGTGTCTGCACAGACACCGACACCGGAAATGACTGCTGCGCACGAAGGGATCTCCGCTGGAGTGAACCAGCCCAGGCGAGGTTAGCCTTGCTGACCCCTGTCTTAGGGCTACACAGCAATGGGTGCAAGGAGGTTTCAGGAGGAAGAGAAGGGTGGGAAAATGTGGGGATGGACAGCAAGGTAAACAGAGCACAGAGATGCTCCCAGGCGGGTTTGTGGAGGGCAGGAACCAGTGGCCTTCCAGCTTGCCTGTACCTTTCTGGAACTGGGGTGCCCACCCCACGGGAACCGCATTGCTCACTGCCTTTCTCCCCCCGCAGGGCTGGCTGACCGAAAGCGCCCGGTGTATTGCCAAGTCGGGCCGGACGGTAGAGTGGATGACTCCCCTGGGACTGCCCATTGTCCAGCCATACCATCGCTCGAAGACCACGCTGGTAAGCCAAGCCATAAACATCCGGGCACATGGGGACGCGGGTGGCGCTGTGGTCTAAAACCACTGTAAAGGTAAAGGGTAAAGGGACCCCTGACCATTAGGTCCAGTCGTGACCGACTCTGGGGTTGCGGCGCTCATCTCGCTTTACTGGCCGAGGGAGCCGGCGTACAGCTTCCGGGTCATGTGGCCAGCAGGACTAAGCCGCTTCTGGCGAACCAGAGCAGCACACGGAAATGCCATTTACCTTCCCGCCGGAGTGGTACCTATTTATCTACTTGCACTTTGAGGTGCTTTTGAACTGCTAGGTTAGCAGGAGCAGGGACTGAGCAACGGGAGCTCACCCCGTCGCGGGGATTCGAACCGCCGACCTTCAGATCGGCAAGCCCTAGGCTCTGTGGTTTAACCCACAGCGCCACCCGCATCCCTCTAAAACCACTGAGCCTCTTGTTATTCCAAACTGAGCCTCTGACCGATTCCAAAGACGCGGGTGGCGCTGTGGTCTAAACCACTGAGCCTCTTGGGCTTGCTGATCAGAAGGTTGGCGGTTTGAATCCCCGCGACAGGGTGAGCTTCCGTTGCTCCGTCCCAGCTCCTGCCAAGCTAGCAGTTCGAAAGCACACCAGCGCAAGTAGATAAATAGGTACCACTGCGGTGGGAAGCTAAATGGCATTTCCATGCGCTCTGGTTTCCATCACGGTGTCCCATTGCGCCAGAAGCGGCTTAGTCCCGCTGGCCACATGACCTGGAAAGCTGTCTGTGGACAAACGCCGGCTCCCTCGGCCTGAAAGCGAGATGAGCGCCGCAACCTTGTAGTCGCCTTTGGCTGGACTTAACCATCCAGGGGTCCTTTGCCTTTACCTTTTTACCAAGTGCTTTTTTTTCTCGGGGGTCGCAGGGGTACGCATACCCCTAAACATTTTGTGAATCTAACAGTTTGTCTCGCTGTGTGTTAGAGAGAGTTTGTGTCTACAGTGGTACCTCGGGTTACATACGCTTCAGGTTACATACGCTTCAGGTTACAGACTCCGCTAACCCAGAAATAGTGCTTCAGGTTAAGAACTTTGCTTCAGGATGAGAACAGAAATCGTGCTACGGCGGCAGCAGGAGGCCCCATTAGCTAAAGTGGTGCTTCAGCTTAAGAACAGTTTCAGGTTAAGAACGGACCTCCGGAACGAATTAAGTACTTAACCCAAGTTACCACTGTACTTGGGTGTGTTTGAGGGAGCTTTTCCTGCCAAACAGACGCACAAGCGCTCTCGCACACAGATAAGTGCGTGTGTGCCTTTGTGTGTGAGGCGGAGAGGGTGCATGGACACACACACAAAAGACACACAGAAATAGTGCATGTGTGCCTGTTTGTCTGCGTGTGAGCATGTGTACTTGCGCGTTTGAGCAAAAGAGGCAAGTTGGCTCCCACTTCCAAACAGACCCTCTTTCCTATGCGCAAACACATGCTCTCACACGCACATGGGCAAGCGCTGCACTGTTTTTCTCTCACGAATGCAAATGAACACGCACTTGTGATAGGAACTTTATGGTCCTAAATATATGGTAATGTTCATAAGTGTACCAATCAAGCACATACGTAGATCAGCACAGGAAGACCGACCTGGAACCATTTTGATTCCTAAACCGAGCAAATGTTTTCTCTGCAAGGTCAAAGGAAAATGGAAAAGCCTCCCCATTGTCTTTTCCTTCACAAATCCTGTCTTAAGGGCATATTTAAGATATGACTAGGGTGTGAGCCTGTGACCTGGCCCAGGAACTAAGTATTTATCATTACAAAAGACTGGCCAGGCTCCCCAGGCAATCCAATCAATTAACCTGCCAGACAGGAGATGAACGAGAGAAAAACAACATTCAAATTTCTGTTTTAGACCGCCTTTTCTGTGATGTAGGTGTGATGTATCTGAGGGGTGGTCTTAGGTTACACCCCTTCTGTGATGTATGTATGATGTTTCTGGGGGTGGTCTTGATCTACAGGGTGGCAATTTCAAAAGTCTTTATAAGGCCTGGGGCGCCATTTTTCTGGGTCCCTCCTCTCTCCTGCAAGTGAGGGGAGCACCCTGTTGCAACAGATAAATAAAGGCCAAGCCTACAGGCTGCTGTTTTGCTCCAAGTAATCCTGGTTGGTGTATTTGTTTTTTGTCCAAGGGAGCCCTCGGATTTTTCCATTAACACACTAAAACGCGTGCTTCCTCCCAGAACAGGGAAGTGTGTTTATGTGTGTTGTTAAAGCTTGTGTGGCAGAATTTGAATTATGCGATTGGAGAGTGGGGAGAAAAAAGAGAGATGCTGCTGGGGGCGATGGAGCCTTGCCCATGCACAGAAGCGGAAGAATTATTATTATTTATATATTTATTGCAATTTATACGCCGCCCTACGCCCGGAGGTCTCAGGGCAGTGCACAGAATAAAATCAAAATATAAAACCACTGAGTCTGGCTGAGTCTGGAATAACCTTGTGAAGTGAAAGGATATGAAAGAAGGATTTATATCGAGATGTTAGGATAGAGAGGATAAAGAAAACAGGAAGGCAGGAAGGCACAATGAGAGATAAAGGAGGTGCTGTGGGATTGGTGGAAGTCAATGTCTTCTTGTTGTTTTAGTGTTTATAATATTAACTTATAAAATATGGATTTGTTTGTTTTTTTGTTTTTGTTGTTTTGTTTAGTTTTTGAATGTTGATTTTCGTGTGTTGTGTATTGTTATTTTTTGATACCTTTCGTGTTGTTGTTGTGTGGAAAATACTAATAAAATTCATTTTTTATATATATATATATATATATATATATATATATATATATATGAAAAAATCTGGGTGTGAGGCTGCTCAGTCACCCAGCTGGTCGGACTCAGAGCCCGCGGGTCCCTGCGGAATAAAGGAAGGAGTCCAGCCAACCGGAGCAAATAGCTGTAGACCAAAGTTTATTGCGCAATAGGTTCAAAGAGCAAATTTTGAACCCCGAGGATGGGGTGACAAAGACTTTTAAACTTTCCCACCATATCCCAGAATACAGTTCGTACAGCATCATTGCTACATCACTGACATGTCACCAAAGGGGAGGGGTTAACCTTGGCAAACATGTCCAGACAAGTCCTTGGTACCAGATTAGCATAAGCAGACATGGCAGGGCAAGAGTCAGGTATAAGATTAGCCTAGACAAAGATGTCTTAAGTACCCACCACCCAAAAGTACAATACAAGTTCCTTTGCATGTCGGGAGCCTGAGGCGAGTCAGGGGATGAGATTTGGCTTCCTTTGGCTAACAATGAGCCCAGCAATTGTCACCTCTGAGAACTTCCTGGAGTTCTTTTTCAAGGGGAAAATAGCTTTGGAATGGAGTAAACTGGGAAAGGAGATGATTTTATATTATTTTTAAAGCTAGGTGACTTCCCTGAGCTGTCAAGTTGGAAGGATACATTCAGGCATAATATTTGTAATATTTAACTTTAAAGATGTGCCTCCCCCGGTAATTTCCGTAACAATACAGTGGTGCCTCGCAAGACGAAATTAATTCGTTCCGCGAGTTTTGTCGTCTTGCGGTTTTTTCCGTCTTGCGAAGCACGGTGTCGGGAAAGTTTTGGAAAAGCTTCAAAAATCACCAAAGTCTTCAAAAACCTCAAAAAAGGCTACCACATGAGTTGCTCCTCGAAGTCAAGTCGCAACTGTATTAACGGTGTTAAGGAAAAGGAAAGAAACTTGCAAGACGTTTCCCATAGGGAAAATCGTCTTGCGAAGCAGCTCAAAAAACGAAAAACCCTTTCGTCTAGCGAGTTTTTCATCTTGCGAGGCATTCGTCTTGCGGGGCACCACTGTATAAAACCACCAAAACACATAATCCGAATAAAAACAACAACCCGATAACACACACACACACACATGGGGGGAAAACCCCCCCACATTTTAAAAGGGCTGCTCTGCGAATCAAAGTCACCTGAGGACAGGCAGGGCAGTGACTCAACTTTTTGCAGTGGCAAAGCATGACTCAGCCGGCAGAGGGTTGTGAGTCAGCAGAAAGGGGGTGTGTATGGAAAATTCAAGGTGACATTTGCCAGGAATAACCAGCCGATCACCGCCCTCACCGATGGGGTCTGCCTGGGGAAGGCAGAGTGCACCAAACTCCCCTATTTCCTCTCCCCCCCCCCAACGGCCGGAAAAATAGAAATAAATAAATGTGGTTTTAATCCTCCCTCCTCCGAGGGATAAAATATCTGCTGCTAATTTTAAGAGGCCCTCCAAGAAGCCGCCTCGTTGAAATGCGTGTCGTGTCCGAGCAGCTTCGGTGGGTCTACTCTTGAGTAGGACTTGACACCGGACACAGAAGCTTTTCATTTTTAATAATAATAATGCAGTAATAATAAGCAAGAAAGCTTCATTCATTAGTTGCAGCCCTGACTGACTGACCTCAGGGTTGTGGGAGGCATGGATCTCTGCGACACATGTTATCTGGACGACGTCCCTGCAGGGTAGGCTAGCCTGAGGGAAAATATAATATAATATAATATAATATAATATAATATAATATAATATAATATAATACAATACAGTGGTGCCTCGCAAGACGAAATTAATCCGTTCCGCGAGTCTCTTCGTCTAGCGGTTTTTTCGTCTTGCGAAGCAACCCTATTAGCGGATTAGCGCTATTAGTGGTTTAGCGGCTATTAAAGGCTTAGCGGCTTAGAAAAAGGGGGGGAAGCGAAAAAAATCTCAAGACTCGCAAGACATTTTCGTCTTGCGAAGCAAGCCCATAGGGAAATTCGTCCTGCGAAGCGCATCGAAAAACGGAAAACCCTTTCGTCTAGCGGGTTTTTCGTCTTGCGAGGCATTCGTCTTGCGGGGCACCACTGTATAATAATATTTATACTCCACCCATCTGTCTGATGATGATGATGATGATGATTTATTACTTACACCCTGTTCATCTGACCAGGACACCCCAGCCACTCTGGGCAGCTCCCAACAGAATATTAAAAACAGAATAAAACACCAAACATTAAAAATTTCCCTAAACAGGGCTGCCTTCAGATGTATGCTAAAGGTCTGGTAGTTGTTTATTTCCTTGACATCTGACAGGAGGGCATTCCACAGGGAGAGGGGCCACCACCGAGAAGGCCCTCTGCCTGGTTCCCTGTAACCTCGCTTTTCACAGCGAGGGAACCGCCAGAAGGCCCTCAGAGCTGGACCTCAGTGTCCGGGCTGAACAATGTGGGTGGAGATGCTCCTTTAGGTCTACTGGGCCATTTAGGGCTTTCAAGGTCAGCACCAACACCCAAATTGTGCCCGGAAACGTCCTGGGAGCCAATGTAGGTCTTTCAGGACCGGTGTTATATAGTCTCAGCAACCGCTCCCAGTCACCAGTCCGGCTGCCGCATTCTGAATTAGCAGAGACAGTGGCGGCCCCAGATTTGCCCAGTGGACTTTGCGGTAAGGTTACCAGATTTTTTTTCAATGAATCCGGGGACACTTTTCACTTTTGTCAGGGGTAAAATATAAAGGTAAAGGGACCCCTGACCATTAGGTCCAGTTGTGGCTGACTCTGGGGTTGCTGCGCTCATCTCGCGTTATTGGCCGAGGGAGCTGGCGTACAGCTTCCGGGTCATGTGGCCAGCCGGACTGAGCCGCTTCTGGCGAACCAGAGCAGCGCACGGAAACGCCGTTTACCTTCCCGCCGGAGCGGTACCTACCGTATTTTTCGCTCTATAAGATGCACCAGACCACAAGACGCACCTAGTTTTTGGAGGAGGAAAACAAGAAGAAAAATATTCTGACTCTCAGAAGCCAGAACAGCAAGAGTGAAAGCAGCAATCCTTCTTGCTGTTCTGGCTTCTGGGATAGCTGCGCAGCCTGCATTCGCTCCATAAGACGCACACACATTCCCCTAACTTTTTAGCAGGGAAAAAGTGAGTTTTACAGAGCAAAAAATACGGTAGGTCCTTCCTGGTTCAAAGACATGGGCCCGAGGGGGTGGATGGCCCCAGGACCCCTTCCGCGGAAGGGGCAAACCAAGACTTACAAGGCTCTCCAGGCATTTGGCCACAATGGAAGCGAACCGTCTCTCGCCGGCCAGTTCAGAGATGAGGAAGATGTATTCCGGAGCAGAAACCTGGTTGGAGCGGTGCATCCAACCTGGAAGGAAACCCCAAACAGGGAAGGTTAGCTCCCTCTTGCTGTTCTGGCTTCTGGGATAGCTGCGCAGCCTGCATTCGCTCCATAAGATGCATACACATTTCCCCTTACTTTTTAGGAGGGGAAAAGTGAGTCTTATAGAGCAAAAATTACGGTATTTATCTACTTGCACTTTGACGTGCTTTCGAACTGCTAGGTTGGCAGGAGCAGGGACCGAGCAACGGGAGCTCACCCCGTCATTGCGGGGATTTGAACCGCTGACTGATTTGTAAATCTGGGGACCGTCTCTGGGAAACGGGGATGTCTGGTAAGCTTCCTTCACAGGGTTTTGAACCACTCTGAACCCCTGCTGTCCCTCTAAATGTGTAATGAGACCAAAGGCTGCTCCAGTTTCCTTCCTCTCCTTGCAAAGCCGACGCGTCAACCTGTACTTATTTCTCCTTTCCCCACCCTCCTTTCCCCAAGGTTAACAGCACCATTCAGTCGGTCCATCTCAAGTCACGACACGACGTCACCCAGTGAGTATCTCATCATGGTGGTTTGGAAGAGGGGCTCCAGGTTTTACCTGCCTGGCTCAAAAAGAACTTTGCTGATATTTTTATATATTTTTATTAATTTTAACATACAAATTATAAAACGTACCACACAAATTATTACAAATACACTTTTTTTTGGACTTCCATCAGCACCTCCGATGATCTTCCGTCTTATCCTCCTTTTATGCATTACCGTATTTTTCGCTCTATAAGACGCACCAGACCATAAGACGCACCTAGTTTTTGGAGGAGGAAAACAAGAAAAAAAATATTCTGAATCTCAGAAGCCAGAACAGCAAGAGGGATCGCTGTGCAGCGAAAGCAGCAATCCCTCTTGCTGTTCTGGCTTCTGGGATAGCTGCGCAGCCTGCATTCACTCCATAAGACGCACACACATTTCCCCTTACTTTTAGGAGGGAAAAAGTGAGTCTTATAGAGCAAAAAATACAGTACTTAATTTTATATTGTCTTTACCCTCTTATCTTATCATCCCACCTTTTACATTTTTACAATATTTCCCACAATACCCCTCACAGAACTTCTTGCAGACCTACAAACGTCGTCTGACCATCACAAATACTTTTCATATAGTTCGTAAATTTACTCCAGTCTTCGGTAAATTTCTGGTCTCACCGGTTTCGGATCCTTCCTGTTAATTTGTTTAATTCTGCGTAGAGCTTTGCTGATCTGATGAAACAGGTGCAAACCGATTGACAGCAGGGCTAAAATGTTGCCGGTGGCCAGAGCAGGAATTTTGAAGTGGAAAGCACATCCTTTCTCCCTTCTTAGGGGGCTGCCTTCATGCAAGAAGCGCCCCTTCTTGTGGGTGTGAGAGCGAGCGGAGAATGCCAATTCTGGGATGGCTCCTCCCGGTGTTGCGGGATGTGATATGCGTGTGTCCGAGCAAGTAACATCTCGGAAGAGGGTCCCTCTACTCGGGAGGGGAACCCAGAGGTCATCCAGCCCAACCCCCCTGCAATGCAGGAATCTCAGGAGCTGGGAGCGGAATACTTCTAGAGAGATCTCTTGCTAGGATGCACACATGAATAATAATAATCACCATCATCATCCGTCCTTTTTTTATGGGGGGACGACGCAGGGGTACGCATACCCTCTAATTTTTGGCGAATCTAAGTTTGGCCTCATAGAGGGGCAGTATTTCAACATGAGTAGGAAAATGGAAGTACCCCTAGACATTTTTTAAGAAAAAAAGAGCACTGATAATAATAATAATAATAGTTACTATTTATTTATACCCTGCCCATCTTTCAGTTGTAGAAACTTTTTTGGATCCAGCGCAGGTGGGATAAAAATCCTCCCTCAAAAGGCATGTTGTTATAATTAGAATTATTTATAGCCCACCCATCTGGCTGGGTTTCCCCAGCCACTCTGGGCTGCTCCCACCAGAATATTAATAATAATATTTAAAAGCGACAAAACACAAAACATCAAAAACTTCTCTAAACAGGGCTGCATTCTAAACGTCAGATAGTTGTTTATTTCCTTGACATCTGAAGGGAGGGTGCCACCACTGAGAAGGCCCTCTGCCTGGTTCCCTGTAACCTCACATCTCGCAGGGAAGGAACTGCCAAAAGGCCCTTGGAGCTGGACCTCAGTGTCCAGGCAGAACGATGGGGGTGGAGACACGCTTTCAGGTATACTGGGCTGTTTAGGGCTTTCAAGGTCAGCACCAACACTTTGAATTGTGCTTGGAAGCATCCTGGGAGCCAATTTAGGTCTTTCAGGACAGGTGTTATGTGGTCTCGGCGGCCGCTCCCAGTCTCCAGTCTAGCTGCCACATTCTGGATTAGTTGCAATTTCTGGGTCACCTTCAAAGGTAGCCCCACGTAGAGCGCATTGCAGTAGTCCAAGCGGGAGATAACCAGAGCATGCACCACTCTGGCCAGACAGTCCGTGGGCAGGGAGGGTCTCATCCCGCGTACCAGATGGAGCTGGGAGACAGCTGACCATCGTGCAGCTCCGGAAATCGCCCAGGGCATCCGCAAGCGGGAACTGAGCATGATAGCGACTCTGCCCTCCTCCTAAAACATCCTCTCTTGCCTCGACTTCCCCGCAGGAAGCCCGACACGGTGAAGCAGAAGAACGCTTTCCCTCCAAACTTCATCCATTCCTTAGATTCCACACACATGATGCTAACAGCTTTGCACTGTCACAGGTAAGGGGTTCCTTTTTGTGTTCTGAGACGCTTTTGGGGCGCCCCATCCCCCAGGCAGCTAAAAACGGGGCGCAGGGCTCCCTTTCCTCAAACGGCGTTAACGGGGAAATCAGCCAACAGAGTGACAGCAACTTTCCGCAATGCCAAAGTTGTGTTAGTTATTCTGACGAATTCGTTGTCGTAGTTTGCTTAACATGCTACAGGCACCTCCCAATTTATTACTTATTTAGTCATTTCTACCGTATTTTTCGCTCTATACGACGCACCAGACCACAAGACGCACCTAGTTTTTGGAGGAGGAAAACAAGAAAAAAAATATTCTGAATCTCAGAAGCCAGAACAGCAAGAGGGATCGCTGCGCAGTAAAAGCAGCAATCCCTCTTGCTGTTCTGGCTTCTGGGATAACTGCGCAGCCTGCATTCGCTCCATAAGACGCACACACATTTCCCCTTACTTTTTAGGAGGGGAAAAGTGAGTCTTCTAGAGCAAAGAATATGGTATTTGATTTTAGAAAATATAAAGTTATAACCAAGTCAATTAAAAATCCGTATGAAGAGATTGCTTTGAATATCAAGACTTTCCCCCTCCGTGGGTCCTAATGTCAATATTATATCAGTCCGTTATCCACATTTTGTATCCATCAAAGCTGTCCATAGTTTTTGTTGCAAGTGTGGTTAAAATCCTGCTCATGTTTTCATCTTCTTATAATGGTCTCCTAAATAAATTTCCCCCTGTTTTTTTAAAAAAAGTTCTTGCCCTCTTGGTTCCTGGAGCTTCCCAGTTAATTTTGCCATTTCTGCGTAGTCTATCAATTTGGTTTGCCATTCTTCCTTGGTCGCGATTGTTTCTTCATTCCACCTCCCAATTTACATGGGGGTTACGTTCTGAGGCTCTGCCTTTTTAAGCAAAGCCACACGTTTGAAACACCATTGGAAAAGCCCCAAATCCACTGTTCTGGCCCGTTTTCGCAACGTTTTGGGGTCGCTTCTGGCTTTGGTGTGGCCGCAAGCGATTTCTGTTCTCATCCTGAAGCAAAGTTCTTAACCCGAGGTACTATTTCTGGGTTAGTGGAGTCTGTAACCTGAAGCGTATGTAACGCGAGGTACTACTGTATATAAAAAAATTAAAAAGTTGTCCAGTAGCACCTTACAGACCAACTAGGTTTGTTCTTGGTATAAGCTTTTGTGTGCATGCACACTTCTTCAGATACACTGAAACAGAAGTCACCAGACCCTTATATATAGTAGGAGGGTGGGGTGGGGTTTTTCACAGGAGGGTGGTAGTAGATGGGTGATTAACTCAATGGGTATGGCAAATTTTAAAGTTTGGAATAGAGTAGTTGCTTTGGAAGACGATAATCAGGCATCCACACAACGTGACCAGTCCAACAAAGTTGATGTTGAAGAATCATCGCTTCGACACTGGGGATCTTTGCTGCGGGGGGTTGGACTATGATGAAATTCAGGGTCCCTTCTAGCTATGATTCTGTGATGTTTAGTTACTGAGAGTTGACATGAGAGAGCCCCTTTCCGGTACCCGAAGGGCTGTTGCCACAGGGAAGGCAGAGCCGGCTGGCTTTCTTAGAATCACAAAAAATTAAGGTTGGAAGCATTATCTATCCCAACCCCGCGCACTGCAGGAATCTTTTGCCCAACGTAGGATTCGAACTCGCAACCCGGATGTTGAGTGACTCATTCTGTTCCCGACGGAGCTGTCCCTTGTTTCCTGCTGCTCTGGCAGGCAGGACCCAAGCTGCCGGATTCGAAGCACGAGAAAGGCGCGTGGCCCTGATCCATCCCAGGGGTTTGGGGCCATATTGGGGCATCCCCCGGGCCGTAAATTAAATAATCCAACTTGTGAAGCCCGTCGGCATACACTGGGCATGGCTTTTAGGAAAGTAGCTAGCTCAGAGCTGCTCCTTTTCTTGCTCTTTGTTCTAGCGCCACTGGGTGGTGCTCCCAGCCCGGGGATTACCGTATTTTTCGCTCTATAAGACTCATTTTTTCCCTCCTAAAAAGTAAGGGGAAATGTGTGTGCGTCTTATGGAGCGAATGCAGGCTGCGCAGCTGTCCCAGAAGCCAGAACAGCAAGAAGGATTGCTGCTTTCACTGCGCAGCGATCCCTCTTGCTGTTCTGGCTTCTTAGATTCAGAATATTTTTTTTCTTGTTTTCCTCCTCCAAAAACTAGGTGCATCTTGTGGTCTGGTGCGTCTTATAGAGCAAAAAATACGATAGATCCGAACAGAGCCCTTGACCACAGGGAGGGGTCGTCCATCCTTTACCCTCCTCCCAATCCGTTTGTATTTTGGAGAACGGTTTTTCCTTTTACGAGACTTGACGGCAGCCCCTGGTCACAATCAAGGGACGTCAGAAGCCGGCTTATGCAGTGTTAAGCCACTTCTCCCATCTAGACCAGCACTGCTTGCACTGGCTGGCAGCGTCTCTGCAGGCACAGACTCTCTCCTAACCTGGAGATTCTAGGTTCTGGGAGACCGTGGTTTAGGAGACGGTCAGGGAGCAGACGGGTTTTCACTTGCCTGACTGCCTCTTCCTCTTTATCCGTCTTTCTTAAAAAAACCTTATATTTAAATACAGTGGCAGCTCTGGTTACATACGCTTCAGGTTACAGACTCCGCTAACCGAGAAATAGTACCTCGGGTTAAGAACTTTGCTTCAGGATGAGAACAGAAATCGTGCTCCGGCGGCAGCGGGAGGCCCCATTAGCTAAAGTGGTGCTTCAGGTTAAGAACAGTTTCAGGTTAAGAACGGACCTCCAGAACGAATTAAGTACTTAACCCGAGATACCAGTGTAATTAAATAATCCTGGAGGCTTATAGAGCAAAAAATACAGTATATATTTCACATTGGTATATCTCAGCATCTGGGTGGGCTTATCTGAACAGGAAAGCCTTCACCTCAGCCGTTGTGCATCTTGACTTTTTTGTGTCTCCTAGGGAGGGGCTCACCTTTGTTTCCGTGCACGATTGCTACTGGACTCACGCGCTCACAGTCGATGTCATGAATCGGGTAAGCTGGTCTCCCTCACCTCCGCTGCCGCCCCAGATCTCAGCTCTGACCCACGCCGAAACCTGGTCAGGGTTTCGGGCCTGCTTATTTGAGAAGCCCCCTTCACCAGGAAAAACGTGACGTTTACCCTGGCAAGTAGCAATGAGGATAGGAATGTAAGAAGAGCTCTAGCTGGATCCGGCCGATGGGAGCCCACCTAGTCACAGAAATGTAGAATGCTGGAGTCGGAATGGGCTCCCCCCAGGTCATCTAGTCCAACACCCGGCGTTGCAGGAATCTCAGCTAGTGCATCCATGACAGGTAGCCAGCAAACTAGGCTGTTGGCTAATAATAATAATAATAATAATAATAATTTATTTATATCCCGCCCATCTGGCTGGGTCTCCCCAGCCACTCTGGGCAGCTTCCAACAAAGATTAAAAATACATTAAAATGTCACACATTAAAAACTTCCCTGAACAGGGCTGCCTTCAGGTGTCTTCTAAATGTCAGGTAGTTGTTTATCTCTTTGACATCTGATGGGAGGGCGTTCCACAGGGAGGGAGCCACCACCGAGAAGGCCCTCTGCCTGGTTCCTTGTAGCTTTGCTTCTCACAGTGAGGGAACCGCCAGAAGGCCCTCGGAGCTGGACCTCAGTGTCCAGGCTGGACGATGGGGGTGGAGACGCTCCTTCAGGTATACTGGGCCTTTGAGGCCGTTTAGGGCTTTAAAGGTCAACACCAACACTTTGAATTGTGCTCGGAAACGTACCGGGAGCTCAGTGGTCTCGTTAGATAGTAAAAATCATGTTAAATTGCTGTTTTAGGGGTTGTTTTTAAAAGTCTGGAACGGATTAATTTGTTCTGCATTACTTTCTATGGGAAATAATAATAATAATAATAATAATAATAATAATAATAATAATAATAATAATAATTTATTTATACCCCGCCTATCTGGCTGGGCTTCCCCAGCCACTCTGGGCGGCTTCCAACAAAATAATAAAATACAGTAATGCATGTCTTGGTTTTGGAACGCTTTGGTTTTGGAACGGACTTCCAGAACGGATTAAGTTTGAGAACCAAGGCACAACTGTACTTCTACCATGGAGTGCAGAGCAGAGCGCAGCCACAAATTCGTCTTCTTTTAAAGCCACCCAACTGAGTGGTTTTCTCAGCCTTGTGCAAGAGCGAGTTCCACAGTTTAATGAAGGAGCTCTTCTTTTAACCTGCCCCAAATCTCCCGATATTTGGCTTCACCGGGCGCCCGCGAGTCCTAGCATTTCGGACAACGGCGGCGATTGTCCCCCTCCCTCTTGCATTTCTTTTTCTTTTTCTTAAAATAATTTTTATTGAATGATTTTATGTTACAACAAAAACAATACAGCCATACTACCACTAAATATACCGTAATTGAGAAATAAAAATTACATACATTGATATTTAGTTTGCTATTTGTTATTTACCATCTTATTTCCTCCCAAACATTGCATACAACAACACACATATGTGCAGACATCCGCACACCCACACATGCACACAAAATGATAATAATGAAAGTAAATATTTTTTCCCCTTTTGTCTTCCAAAATCTTTTCTTCAACTTTGGCTTCCTGTCAAGTCCCTTTGCATATATTTTATCTTGCATTTGAATGTACACAAAACAATAAACCTTTCTATATAATTTTTCTAATACATTCTGAAAACATAATAAATCCTTAATTGTTATCCACCTCCTTTGAGTTCCTTTATCACTCGAATGCTAGCATGGAGTCAAAACTATTATTGTATTTTTGAACGTATCTTCTATAACCATCCCATTTTCCCGCAAATTTTTGCTTTGAGTTTCCTCTGAGTTTACTAGTCGATAAAATAGCAGTTGGGATTTTTGACCAATAATTGTTAGGGCAAATGAGGACAAGGAAACAGGCATAAAACATCCGAATAAAATACAAGGTTAAACACAGATAATGGATGGATAAAAAACTAATAATTAACACAGATAAGAGCTAAAAACCAACAAAGACGCGCAGTTAAAACAACTGTAAGAGCATAAGAACTAAAAGACTCGCAGATAAAACAACTATAAGAGGCTGCAGAGTAGAAGCCTCTTAAATAGAGGGCACTCACAACGTTATAAACTGCTGTGCAAATATGGTTAAAACAGATAATTAAAACAATATACAACACTAAATTTAGAAACAATGTACAGCAATAGACTGTCCCAGGGAGCTGACTCAGAATCACCCATGGAACCGTGTTGGGGGCTTTTCATGGATGTGAGGGCGATCTGGCTGCGACATCTGTCACCCCATTGATCGCCAGGGTTGATTCGACTGATCTGGCTGGCTAGGCAGGTGTCCCCTTCCTCCCTCACCGCTCCATGTGCATCCTTCCCGAAGCTGCGCGCTCGGTGGAAGAGGACGACCATCCCAGACAGAAGGAGTGTACAGTGGTGCCTCGCAAGACGAAATTAATCCGTTCCGCGAGTGTCTTTGTCTAGCGGTTTTTTCGTCTTGCGAAGCAACCCTATTAGCGGCTTAACGGATTAGCGCTATTAGCGGTTTAGCGGCTGTTAAAGGCTTATCGGCTTAGCGTATTAGCTGCTAAAAGGCTATTAAAGGCTTAGCAGCTTAGATAAAGGGGGGGGGGAGCGGAAAAAAAAATCTCAAGACTCGCAAGACATTTTCGTCTTGCGAAGCAAGCCCATAGGGAAATTCGTCCTGCGAAGCAACTCAAAAACGGAAAACCCTTTCGTCTAGCGGGTTTTCCATCTTGCGAGGCATTCGTCTTGCGGGGCACCACTGTACCGTTCTTCAGTCAAGAGTTTACTAGTCAATTGAGCTGTCTCCACACTCTTGCATTTCAGGTCTGCCGCGAACAGTTTGTGCACCTCCACAAGCACCCCATTCTAGAGGAACTCTCCCAGTTCATGCTTCAGAAATACTGTTCCCACGTTCCGTAAGTGTGTGTCGCTTTCTTCGCCCACCCCTCTTCAAATATTCTATTTCAATCAATCAACCTTTATTACCCTGTGTCCAGGGCAGCTGTTCTGTGTCCAGGGCAGCTGTTTACCAGCTCCATCTGGTCTGCAGGATGAGACCCTCCCTGCCCGCAGACTGTCTCGCCAGAGTGGTGCATGCTCTGGTTATCTCCCGCTTGGACTACTGCCATGCGCTCTACGTGGGGCTACCTTTGAAGGTGACTCGGAAACTACAACTAATCCAGAATGCAGCAGCTAGACTGGTGACTGGGAGCGGCCGCCGAGACCATATAACACCGGTCCTGAAAGACCTGCATTGGCTCCCAGTACGTTTCCGAGCACAATTCAAAGTGTTGGTGCTGACCTTTAAAGCCCTAAACGGCCTCGGTCCAGTATACCTGAAGGAGCAACCTGAAGACATCTTAAGGCAGCCCTGTTCAGGGAAGTTTTTAACGTGTGATATTTTAGTGTATTTTTGGTTTCTATGGAAGCCGCCCAGAGTGGCTGGGGAGGCCCAGCCAGATGGGCGGGGTATAAATAATAAATTATTATTATTATTATTATTATTATGATGATGGTTCAGAGATCCAACAAATCGTTACAAAGCAATACACAATTCATACAGCCTACCTCCAGGTCAAACAAGCATTTCATTCAGAATACAGGGATCATTGGTTCTTGCAACCACTGCTAAAAACTTTGCCACTGCTAACGTTCTAGCATTTGTCCGGTCTTCCAGTAGGAACCTGACATAGCGAGCCTCTGATTTTCCCGGGAAAGGTACCAGCGAGGGTAGTATCAGTTCAGCCCTGGCTTGCTCATATTTTGTACAGTGCAACAAAATATGTTTTATGGAATTGATGTCTTGAGCACACGAGCAAAGTCTGTCCTGGTAGGGAACTCCTCTCAACCTGCCATCCAACACTGCGGAAGGAAAGACGTTTGGTCTGGCTTTGGTGAAAAGCCTTCGATAATTTGGTATTGTCAGGTTTTTAATGTAAGATGTTAACTTAAAGACATGCCCATATTGTACTCCTACTGCGTGTGATCAAGATCGCACGTCACTGTGTGCATTATACAGTATTCTACTTAAACATCGGATCGGTTTCCGTTTGTTGAACTGCTTTGCGAAAGATCCTCCGCAGCCATTTCAGAGTATTTTAAAAAATCAAACAGAGATAAGAGCAGCGGAATAACTTTGTATGTAGTTGCAACAAACTACGCCCCCCCCCCCCCGCAAAAAAATTATCGCTTTCAGTTGTAGAAATGTATTTCAGATCGAATGCAAGCTAGGATAATGATCTTCCCTTTAAAGGCAAATAATAATAATAATAATAATAATAATAATTAATAATTAATTACATACATACATACCCCACTTTTGGTGTTCATCTTACAGTACATCTTACAGTTTTGTTTTGTAGTGTTACGGGTTGCATTTAATGGAATATTTTCGTCTGCTGGAATAATTTCCAGTAATAATAATAATAGTAATTTATTATGTATACCCCGCCCATCTGGCTGGGTTTCCCCAGCCGCTCTGGGCAGCCCCCAACAGACTATTAAAAACACGATAAAACATCAAACATTAAAAACTTCCCTAAACAGGGCTGCCTTCAGGTGTCTTCTAAAAGTCAGGTAGTTGTTTATTTCTCTGACATCTGATGGGAGGGCGTTCCACAGTGCGGGTGCCACCACCGAGAAGGCCCTCTGCCTGGTTCCCTGTAACCTCGCTTCTCGCAGGGAGGGAACTGCCAGAAGGCTCTTGGAGCTGGACCTCAGTGTCCAGGCTGGACGATGGAGGTGGAGACACTCCTTCAGGTATACAGGACCGAGGCCATTTAGGTCTTGAAAGGTCAGCACCAACACTTCGAACTGTGCTCGGAAACGTACTGGGAGCCTATGTAGGTCTTTCAGGACCGGGGTTATATGGTCTCGGTGGCCGCTCTCAGTCACCAGTCTAGCTGCTGCATTCTGGATTAGTTATAGTTTCCGGGTCACCGTCAAAGGTAGCCCCACGTAGAGCGCATGGCAGTAGTCCGAGCGGGAGATAACCAGAGCATGCGCCACTCTGGCGAGACAGTCTGTGGGCAGGGAGAGTCTTATCCTGCGTACCAGATGGAGCTGGGAGACAGCTGCCCTGGACACAGAATTGACCTGCGCCTCCATGAGGACAGAGGATGCCGAAAAGAAAATACGGATAGCGCCTGCCTGATTTGTAGTGGCAGGTAGTTCCCAAGGTGCATACACTATTAGAGACATCCTCCTGGAGTCTTGTAGGATTGTGTTCATAAGCCTTAAGTCAGGGATGGGTCCAGCGGAAAGCAAAGAAGGTTTCCTTGTTGTTTTTTCCTGCAAATATGTTTAATTATTATTTCGTTGCACCTATATTACAGAAAATAATATTTTCCTTCTCCAGGGTTGAGTGGAAGGATAAGAAGGCGAATGAGTACCAGAGGCTGTTTCAGCTTCTGTCTAGCATCCCTAAAAAAGGTACGAGCACATAGCAACTTTTTTTGCGGGGGGCCGGGAGAGCCTACCGTCAGCAGACAATCCACGCCAAGGCCAATCCCATCGTATATTCCTTAGATTTCTTCCCTGGACCTGCCTCCGAAGGAACCCAGACCGTACAAATACCTATAAATACTAATACCACTGAAATTTCTTAACTTTAAAACAACTCAGTCATTTAGCATGGCAGAGCCTTTGGAACTCCCTGCCGGTTGAGATAAAGAGAGGCGCCTTGTTGTTGTTGTTATTTAGTCATTTAGTCGTGCCCGCCTCTTCGTGACCCCCTGGACAGAGCACGCCAGGCCCTCCTGTCTTCCACTGCCTCCCGCAGTTTGGTCAAACTCATGCTGGTAGCTTCGAGAACACTGTCCCACCATCTCATCCTCTGTCGTCCCCTTCTCCTTGCGCCCTCCATCTTTCCCAACATCAGGGTCTTTTCCAGGGAGTCTTCTCTTCTCATGAGGTGGCCAAAGTCTTGGAGCCTCAGCTTCAGGATCTGTCCTTCCAGTGAGCACTCAGGGCTGATTTCCTTCCGAATAGAGAGGTTTGATCTTCTTGCAGTCCATGGCACTCTCAAGAGTCTCCTCCAGCACCAGAATTCAAAAGCATCCATTCTTCGGCCATCAGCCTTCTTGATGGTCCAGGAATCACTTCCATACATCACTACTGGGAAAACCAGAGCTTGAACTATACGGACTTTTGTTGGCAAGGTGATGTCTCTGCTTTTTAAGATGCTGTCTAGGTTTGTCATCGCTTTCCTCTCAAGAAGCAGACGTCCTTTAATTTCGTGGCTGCTGTCACCATCTGTAGTGATCATGGAGCCCAAGAAAGTAAAATCTCTCACTGCCTCTTCCCCTTCTATTTGCCAGGAAGTGATGGGCCCAGTGGCCATGATCTTTGTTTTTTTTGATGTTGAGCTTCAGACCATATTTTGCGCTCTCCTCTTTCACCCTCATCAAAAGGTTCTTTAATTCCTCCTCACTTTCTGCCATCAAGGTTGTGTCATCTGCATATCTGAGGTTGTTGATATTTCTTTGGCCACATTTACACCATCCATTTCAAGCACGATGGTGCTGCCTTAAAAAGCCATGGTCCGCCCCCCCCCCAAAAAAAAGGATTCTGGGAAATGCGGTTTGCTAAGGGCGCCCAGAGTTCTTTGGAGATCTTTATTTCTCCTCCCAGAACTACAGTTCCCAAGGAAAGAGCGGTTGATTGTAAAACCGCTCTGGAAATTATAGCCCTGCGAGGGGTTGGGAAATAGGGGACGCTCTCCTAACCCCAGACAAACTACAGTTCCCAGAATTATTTAGCGGGTGGGCAGCCTGTTTAAAGGTGGCATAGCGGTTTGGTGTGGAAGTGGCTATAAAGAGTTTTCAGGGGGAGCAAAAATGTCAAGCGTGCCAAGAAGCTAATTTTCGCAGCGCCTGGTTCCCGGCTGATGTGAATCGTTGGCCCTGGGGCGTACGGGTCTCTGAAAAGCACCCCATTTCTGGGGACGCAGCAATTGGGCAGGGGGAAAACATTTCCAGAAAATAATAAGAATAAGAATAAGAATAATTTATTATTTATACCCCACCCATCTGGCTGGGCTTCCCCAGCCACTCTGGGCGGCCTCCAACCAAACATCAAAATACAGTAATACATCAGACATTAAAAGCTTCCCTAAACAGGACTGCCTTCAGATGTCTTCTAAAAGTTTGGTAGTTGTTGTTCTCTTTGACATCTGGTGGGAGGGCGTTCCACAGGGCGGGAGCCACCACCGAGAAGGCCCTCTGCCTGGTTCCCTGTAACTTGGCTTCGCGCAGGGAGGGAACCACCAGAAGGCCCTCGGTGCTGGACCTCAGTGTCCGGGCAGAACGATGGGGGTGGAGACACTCCTTCAGGGATACTGGACCGTTTAGGGCTTTCAAGGTCAACACCAACACTTTGAATTGTGCTTGGAAACGTACTGGGAGACAATGTAGGTCTTTCAAGACCGGTGTTATGTGGTCTCGGCGGCCGCTCCCAGTCAACGCTGCCCCGTGCGTTGCCTAATTCTCCACCCTCCTCCTTCATCGCCTCACTTCCCAGCTATGCTGAACTCTTCCTAATCTTATCTTTTAAGCCTTTTCATTTCGGCTTCCAGCCGACTCTCTGTTTGGCTCATCTGTTTGTTGGTAACCGAGAGAGAATCGCGTCTGCTGTGCTGTTGCCAGGATCCAAGCAAGGCCCGATTAGCGTAAAAAAACGCAGTTGGCATACCAAACTCTTAAATAATAATAATAATAATTTATTATTTATTTATTTTATTTTATTTTATTTATTTTATTTTATTTATTATTTTATTTATTTATTTATTTATTTATTTATTGTTATTTATACCTCGCCCATCTGGCTGAGATTCCCCAGCCACTCTGGGCGGCTTCCAATCAAGTGTTAAAAACAGTACAACATTAAATATTAAAAACTTCCCTAAACAGGCCTGCCTTCAGATGTCTTTTAAAGAGAAGATAGCTGCTTATTTCCTTCACAGGAAAGGGCGGGTGCCACTACTGAGAAGGCCCTCTGCCTGGTTCCCTGTAACCTCACTTCTCGTAAGGAGGGAACCGCCAGAAGGCCCTTGGCACTGGATCTCAGTGTCTGGGCTGGACGATGGGGGTGGAGACGCTCCTTCAGGGGTACTGGGCCGTTTAGGGCTCTCAAGGTCAGCACCAACACTTTGAATTGTGCTTGGAAACGTACTGGGAGCCAATGCGGATCTCTCAGGACCGGTGTTATGTATTCCGGCAGCTGCTCCCAGTTCCCAGTCTAGCCGCCACCTTCTGGATTAATTGCAGTTTCCGGGTCCCCTTCAAAGGTAGCCCCACGTAGAGCGCATTGCAGTAGTCCAAATGGTAGCCATCCTTGGCGTTTCATGGGGCGGTTTGTAACATTTCACTCGCCTCGGGCTCATCAGCTCCACATCCCAGCCAATATCGCAATTCCTGCTTTCTCTGATTTCGCAGCTTGGGCCGAGATTCAAACGGGGGGCTCCTGTCCTTTCTCACCACCTGCGTGGCCTTCCGCATGGAGTTGGCCTTTAGCTCAAAACTGCAGGGGACCAGCGACTGGCTTCAAACGAAGCCAGGTTCCTAGTCCTCACCATGGGTTGTGTGTCTCCCTGTCGCACCCAACGAGGACAGGTTGCTGTTGTTTGGGAACTTTCACGTTTAGACAAAAGGCAAGCGAGGGAGTTTGTAAAAAGTTACATGTGCCACCCTGACACTGGACCCGAACCTGGACATTGGAAGGTCCAGGACAGGTCTGTTTAGCTGCGGAACTCCCTGCCACCCGGTCGGCCGCTGTGAGAACAGGTAAGGTAAAGGTCCAGTCGTGGCCGACTCTGGGGTTGCGGCGCTCATCTCGCTTTATTGGCTGAGGGAGCCGGCGTACAGTTTCCGGGTCATGTGGCCAGCAGGACTAAGCCGCTTCTGGCGAACCAGAGCAGCGCACGGAAACGCTGTTTACCTTCCCGCCGGAGCGGTACCTATTGATCTACTTGCACTTTGAGGTGCTTTCGAACTGCTAGGTTGGCAGGAGCAGGGACCGAGCAACGGGAGCTCACTCCGTCGCAGGGATTCGAACCGCCGACCTCCTGATCGGCAAGTCCTAGGCTCTGTGGTGTAACCCACAGCGCCACCTGCGGACGTGGGACTAAATGGGCCCGATCCTGCATGGCGTCTTCCGGGACCTTCCTTCCTTCAAAGTGTAAAATCCATAGGTTTGCTCCCAATGCAGCCCTGGTTTAGACCAACCGTTTTGGTCCTGCCTTCTTGTTGTTTTTTTGCAGAAGGGGCAGAAGTACCTGCCCCCCCTGCCCAAAGAAACCTCACCTGAATCGTAGCCAAAGACTCCCATCACCATCTGCCGATCTGGAGGTGGGAAGCCGCTGTCTAAAGCTTTATTTCAAAGGCATTTTCCACCTCCTTCCATCTTCCTCCCTGGGGTGTTCTGTTGCGGCTCTCAGTTCATCTCTGTAGTCGTACACAAACCCTCTTCAGGGATTTGTGGCTGGCTGCCCAGTTTCTACAGAGTCTTGTCTCTTCCCCTTCCCTTCCCTTCCCTTCTCTTTCTCTCTGCTTCCATCCTCAAATTTCCTTTCTTTATATATAATTTTTTATTAGTTTTTTAACATATCATTTTCAACAATAATTAAACATAATTCTACATCTTATTCAAATTTTTGACTTCCATCAATCCTGTCTGAAAATTTTCCAATCTAATCTCTTAGTATGCATTTCTTATCTTCCCGGTTACATTTCAAACTCATAACCAATATCTCTATCTTTTTCTACTTTGCAACACTTCGTATATTTCTCCTTACAAAACTTATTGTACTCCTACTAGCGTAATTTGTTGATGACATGCTCTTCAAATAATTCATATACTTTTTCCAATCTTCTGTAAATCTCTGGTCCCACAGGTTTCGAATCCTTCCTGTCATATTGTCCAATTCTGCATAGTCCATTAATTTTGTCCTCAAATTTCCAATTTGCTTTTGAAGCTGAGAAGATGCATCCCCACTTCCAGGCCTAAATAACAACAACAACATCATCAATTATTATTATTTCTAATGAAATTTATTACGGTCAGAGACCACCTTGTAAAACACAAATGGAACTACAATCCCAATAGAACTATTATTCTTATTATTTATTGCTTATACCTGCCCATCTGGCTGGGTTTCCCCAGCCTCTCTGGGCTGCTCCCAACAGAATATTAAAAGCACGATAAAACATCAAACATTAAAAACTTCCCAAAACAGTTCTGCCTTCAGATGTCTTATAAAAGTCAGATAGTTGTTTGTTTCCTTGACATCTGGCAGGAGGGCGTTCCACAGGGAGGGAGCCACCACCGAGAAGGCCCTCTGCCTGGTTCCTTGTAACCTCACTTCTCGCAGGGAGGGAACCTCTTGTGCTCAGGTCAGTTTTCCACGGGCAGCTGGTTTGCCCGCCGTAGGAGGGCAGGATCAGGGCCGGATTTCTGTTTGATGACGCCCCAAGCTACTGAAGGTAACGGTGACCCTTTCTATGTCCAGCTGTCCTTTGTCAACAACAAATTGCCTTTGTTTTTTGTGTTGAATATATGCTACATGGTAATTGATGGACCTAATAGGTATCTCAAGCCATTTGCACATCAGTCCATGCAGAATGTCGGTACCCTATATATAGAAAGGAGCAAACCAGTGATATTTTAGGGAGCAGGCTAGCAGGCGGGGCCCATGACTTACATTGTAGGAGCCTACCCAACACAAAACACTGTTGCTGGATGTAGGTTTTATTTTATTTGTCTTTTATCTTATATTTTGGAAATGTACATCCAGGTTGTTTTTTCCTTTAATTTTTTTAGTGGACCCCAAGAGAGCGGGGCCCTAATCTATAGCTTGTTTAGCTTATACGTAAATCCGGCACTTATACGTAAATCCCGCCTCTACTTGCATTCTGAACATTACACACTTTCTTTCCCTTCCAGGTGACTTCGACCTCGAGAAGGTTAAAGAGTCCACCTACTTCTTCAGCTGACCCCGGAAGGCGTGTCGGAAGCTGTTCCAGGGACCCTGCCCTGCGTCGCCCCGTAATCCGGCTCAGAACGGGCTCTGCTACCTCCAGAGTGAAAAACGGTGGGGAGGAATTTCTTGCACCGTGCAAAACGTATTCGGTCTCTCTGCCCTGAGCCTCCATCAGGTTTTCTTTTCCTCCTTTCCATCCCAGAACTCTGATCAGCCCCAGCTACCTCTATACAACCACTGTTTTCGTTTGTTTTTCAAATGCCCAAACGGCGAAGAATCGACGGAAGAAAGCCGTCCTCCCGGCTTGGTGTTGCTTAGCTCATTTGGTGCCCTCCCAAAGGGCACTTGGCTTGCCACCCCGAACCTCTGCCAGCCCTCTGGAGGAGGGGCACCTTTGCCCTTAACCAGGAGAGTTTTGTGGCGGCAGGAGATGGTAGCTTTGACCCACAGGCTTCCTTCCCCTCCCTTCACAGGACGGCACAAGTTGGCGCCGACTCTGAAGGCTGGTATCGCCGCCGTGTTGGGCTCCAGCTCCCGTCAAGCCCCCGAACCTTTGGGGGCTGGTTGGAGCAGGACCCCACAGCTTCTGGGGGATTCGTTCTTGCAACGGCAGAGCATAGGAACCACATGGGAAGAGAAATATGGGTGAAATTCCCTTGCCTGGCGCTGTCTGCTTTGGTTCTGCCCGCATCGTCCCACTTGCCACTTTTTGGGTACCGCGGCATGGGGCTGCCCCCTTGAACTGCCTGTGGGGTGCAGAATCGAGTCCCAAGCTTCCCCCGCAGGGGATGTTATCCCATAGCTGTCAACTTTCCCCCTTTTCTTGCTAGGAATCCTATTTGGAATAAGGGAAGTTCCCTTAAAAAAAGGGGGAAAGTTGACAGCTGTGTGTTATCCTCTCCGTCAGGGAACGGTTAAGTTTGTTCCGGCAGAGTGGCCTGGGGAGGGCTGTTTTGATGTACCAGGAGAGCTGTGTTTCTTGCCCCCCCTTGGCCAATGCCTGTGAATTAAAAGCCTACAAGAAATCTCTGCCTCGCCTCTGGAATTTCTGATCCGTCGACTCCGGGAATGAATTCGGCCAATGCTCTTGCCTTGAGAAGCGAGGAGGCAGCCCGCAGTGTCTCTGCACTGAGTCTCTGCCCGTGGGGTTCTTTCAAGCTCCGCTGGCGGTTGGGGGATAAGGAGAGAGGCAGTTGAACAACACCGAGAGCAATACCTGCTTGCAGTTCTGGTCGCCTCCGCTCAGAACGGATATGGTGGAGTTGGGAAATGTTCAGAAAAGGGAAAGCCCAAACAGTCAAGGAGGAAAGGGACAACTCCCCTTTGGGGAAAGCTTGCAGCGTTTTTCTTTTTTCGTTTAGAGAAAAGGCAGATAGGAGCAGACATGGCGGGAATTGTATAAGGTAAGGGGCGCAGGTGGCGCTGTGAGTTAAGCCACAGAGCCTAGGGCTTGCCGATCAGAAGGTCAGCGGTTCGAATCCCCGCCACGGGGTGAGCTCCCGTTGCTCGGTTCCTGCTCCTGCCAACCTAGCAGTTCGAAAGCACGTCAAAGTGCAAGTAGATAAATAGGTACCGCTCCAGCGGGAAGGCAAAGGGCGTTTCCGTGTGCTGCTCTGGTTCGCCAGAAGCGGCTTAGTCCTGCTGGCCACATGACCCGGAAGCTGTATGCCGGCTCCCTCGGCCAGTAAAGTGAGATGAGCGCTGCAACCCCAGAGTCGGCCACGACTGGACCTAATGGTCAGGGGTCCCTTTACCTTTACCTTTACGGAGAAAGTAGCTGGAGAAGAAAACGTTATCCCTTCTAATACTCGAACGCTTGAGGAAACTCAATGAAGCTGAGCGTTGAAAGATTTGAGGCAGACAAAAGGGACCGCACGACCTGTGGAACTCATTGCCACCGGAGGCAGGCGGCCGACGTTGTTAATACGGCGTCTTGAGCACAAAATTTTCAGCTGGAGAACACCCAGCTGAGAAGACTGGGAAGAGGTAGCAGAAGCGGAAGAGGCGACAGGGTTTAGTGAGCGGGAAGAGGCCGTGGCAGAGAGCAGTGCAGAATCGGGAGACGGGAGAGGAAGGGGAAACAGGAGATGATATGAGGCACGAGTGTCTCCCCCTCCTGCCGCAACAGACTCCAGGGAGTCTCCTCCTCCTGGTGCGACCAGTTCCCCTCTGCCCCCTGGTTTCCCAGAACCAGCAGAGATATGAAGAGGGCGGAGTAAAGAGAGACGATGGAGCCGTAGGCTGCTGGAGAAGGTACTGGTGGAGGAGCCTTAGTGGTGGGAAGGCAGGGACTCCCGGTCCCTGCAGCCGTTCCTTTGGGGCAAGACCTACTGGGAAAGGACTGCTGCAACCACTAGGCCTTGAACCTGTTTTGTTTCTTTGAATAAAGAGTTATCTTCACCGACATTGGTGCTTTCTTGACTCCCGCTCCTGAACAGCTAGCTCTAAAGGGGGATCGGAGTAACTCCCCATTTTTATTTTTATAATTTTATTAGTTTTACATAAAAGTTATACACCATAAACATAACATTTTCGCACATTAAAAAAAAAAAAGTTCTTTCAAACCTTGAGACCTCCTTCCTTCCCTCCACGGTTTCCAGTTCTAAATTTTATCCCTGCATCTTTTACGGTGATCCGTATCTGTTATACAATCATATTATCCAAAATCCCTTTTATGTTACAAGTGTCACTGTTATTCGTGCCAATGGTTTCAACTGTTTGCAGTGATCTCTCAAATACGTTAGAAAGTTATTCCAGTCTTTTAAGAATACTTGGTCTTCCTGGTTTCAGATCTTTCCCATCAGTCTCTTTATAAAAAACAAACTTTTTATTCAGCTTTACGGAATACAGTTGAATTCAAACATTAGTCATAACCATCAACATTTAGGATCCCTTGAATCCTTAGACTCTCCTCCCCTGTTCCATGGTTTCCACTATCAAACTTTTTCTTCTGCATCTCATATATTTTCTCTGTCTTTCTTGAAATAATCCATTTTCACCTTAGTTTCTAATGTAGCCTTATTGGAGTTTACCGATTGGGTCTGCGTTGCTCCCGGACAGGAGGAAGGAAGTCAGATGACACCAAGGTTGGTTCAAAGAAAGAGTTCTTTATTTCTGCTGTCCGGAACAGCAGAAAGGCACCTGCGTGGTGTGTCCACAGCAAGTACAAAGAAATGAGAAGTTTCATGCAGTATATATATCCTCCAGGCATCCTCTCCCTCCTTCCCCAGGAATCCAACCACGTCAGCCTATGTACGCAGGTTGACATCACATATGTCCCTGCTCCGGCACTCTTAACCATAAAAGGGTATTCCTTCCTATACTTCTGACCATAAAAGGATCTTCCTTCCTGAACTTCTGACCATAAAAGGATCTTCCTGTTCCTACTCTTATCTTGGAGCAAGAGGTCACCCTCTCCGAGAACACACTTTGGCGCTGTTCCCAGACTGGGTCTGTGGTCTTTGTGGTCAGGACATAAGATAAGGCACAGACGTGTCTTCTCTGTTCTACTGGTACAGTCAAGGCCATCCTTGCCGTCACAAACTAATAAAGGAGAGAGCTTTGAGCACAGCCGGGTTTTTGTTTATACATTGACTCAGAGCTCAAGTTAGCTAAGGAAAAATAGGGATTTTGGTGCAGTTTCAAACTGCCTGCACAGTCAGTTTTGGGTTTGGGAAACCCATTGCTTCACTAATACATTACAAGCGTTACTCAAATCCTGCCAAGGTTTTTTGGTTGTTTGCAACGTTCTCTTAAGTAAATTGTAAATTTCCCCATTCCTTATTAAAGCTTCTATCTCCCTGGTTTCTGGTTTGCCCCAACATTTTCACCATTTTGGCATAGTCCATCTTCATCAGCCTTTTGTCTCTGGTGGGGACTTTTTTCTCCTGTCCATCTCTGCGTTAGTAGCACCCGCTTCTGTCGTCACGTACATAAACAATTGTTTATGCTCCTTTGGTATCTCTGCATCTAAAATTCCTAATAAAAAGGCTTCTGGTTTTCCCCCACAAAAGTTTTTTTCAACTCATTATACCTTGTTTCTCAAACTTAATCCGTTCCGGAAGTCCGTTCCAAAACCAAAGCGTTCCAAAAGCAAGGCGCGCTTTCCCATAGAAAGTAAAGCAAAACGGATTAATCCGTTCCAGACTTTTAAAAACAACCACTAAAACAGCAATTTAACATGAATTTTACGATCTAAAATTTTACCACTGATCCATAAAATGAAAGCGATAAGCAATGTACTGAAGTCACACAATCGATCGGTAGCTGAACTGGGTTCTGCACAGTCACAAAAACAAAACGAAAAAGAGCCACAACTACAAAAATCCAAATTAAATCGCAAAAACAGACCTCAGTGTAACACTCAAATCAGAAGTGTGGCACTCAAAACGGAAGCGTTAAAACTCAAAACGGAGCACGTTCTGCTTCCTAAAAATGTTCACAAACCAGAACACTTACTTCCGGGTTTGCAGTGTTTGGGTTCCAAGTTGTTTGAGAACCAAGGCGTTTGAGAACTAAGGTACCACTGTATATCATTTCCCAGAATGCTTTTGTTGTCTTGCACGTCCACCACATATGGTAGAAAGTGCCTGCCTTCTCCTTCCTTCTCACCCAACAAACGTTTGGAGCAGTTTTATACATCTTTGCTAATTTTGTGGGTGCTAATGTAGGTACCTAGACAGCATCTTAAAAAGCAGAGACATCACCTTGCCAACAAAAGTCCGTATAGCTCAAGCTCTGGTTTTCCCAGTAGTGATGTATGGAAGTGAGAGCTGGACCATAAAGAAGGCTGATGGCCGAAGAATGGATGCTTTTGAATTCTGGTGCTGGAGGAGACTCTTGAGAGTCCCATGGACAGCAAGAAGATCAAACCTCTCCATTCTGAAGGAAATCAGCCCTGAGTGCTCACTGGAAGGACAGATCCTGAAGCTGAGGCTCCAAGACTTTGGTCACCTCATGAGAAGAGAAGACTCCCTGGAAAAGACCCTGATGTTGGGAAAGATGGAGGGCAGA